ATCTCCATCCCTCTGAGCATCCTGGAAAGGCGAGCAGGAGCCTGTGTCACAGGTGCAAACACCGAGGCCCAGAGAAGCAAAGTGATCTGTCCGAAACCGCACAGTGCATCAGGGGCTGAGATGGGGGTATAAACGTGCATTTTTTTTTTTCTTTCCTCCCAATCCAGGGTTATACATGGCAGCCAAAATATAAGAACCTGTCCTCAGGAAAGAAGTCTTTCCCACAGGGCAACAGGGAACTGGAAGGACCCCACCTCTCCGCTTCCCTCCCCAGACATTTTGCTCTTTCTCTCTTGATCCAACCCCATCGCTGTAGTTGAGATGTGGATAATGCTATGGAGAGAGTCATCAGAGCTAGCTGGTGCAGCCCTGGAAATAGGAGCTGAGGCTTAGAAGACCTGGACTCACCTCCTCTTGTAAGCCACAGGTCGCTACTTGCAAAACAAGGCCCATGATAAACGCCCAGGTGAGGTAAGTGTGAGGACTAGATGAGAACATGCTCGTGGGGTGCCTGAGAGTGCCCCAAACTGCATAAAGACTGGGCGCTCCTGGCGAGGCAGCACTTCGTCATGGCTGTGTCCTTGGTGTTTACCACAGTGCCTGGCACACAGGAGTCCCCGATAAACAGGGATGAAATAAAAGAATGAAACCAACTCTTCGCACTTAAAGGCTGCGTGTCTGTGTGACTGTAAAGGTAACGATGTGTGCTTGCTGTCTATCAGGTATCGCAACCTTTTCCCTGTGGACACGGGCACGCCTACCACTACCCTGTGCTTTGTACCCCTGGAAAATGCCTGAAAACAAAATCTCTGGGTAAGAATGCGTTTAGTAATAAGCCCAATAGGTAGGGTGACCATATAGTTTTTTGTCTATACGGGGCCCGTTTGGGGGTGAGAGGGGCACTAGTAGTCATTATGCCTGGACAATAGGTATAAACTATGACTGTCCCAGGCAAACAAATACACTTGGGCACCTTCGGGCACCGCGATGATGCTCAGAACTCTCTGGAGAAGAGAACCCCAAATCCTCCAAACCACCCTGACTCCTCTCCTCTGGTCAGACCATGGAAAGAGTCCCCCACCTTATCTCCAGCAGCCCCGTTCCCCGGCAGTCCTCACTCTCAGCCTCTAGGTGTAACCCCACCTAGAGGTAACCCCACCCTTCCACTACCTTGGAAGTGTCCCAGAGTGTTCGCACTGCTTCAAACATGAAAACCTGTGGTTAAGAACCTGTCGTGTGAACTGCGAAAACCATCCATCCTTCTTCCGACTTTGCGCCAGCTCGGGGATTTCTCTAGGGGCCTCATCTCTCACTGGTTTCAATAAGCTTATGACTGATCCCTCTGTTTCTGCTATTTTCCATCTTTGGTCTATTCTCAACCAAGCAGCCTGAGCAATTCTGTAAAAACATAAGTCAGATTATGTGTCTCATCTGTTCAGACAGTGGCTTCCCATCTCACTCAGAGAAAAACAGCCCATAAGGACCCAGCCTACTTAGTTAGCCCTTATTTATCTCGCTGGACTCTCTAGACACACAGGTGTCCTTGCTTATTCCCACTTCAGGGCCTTTGCACCTGCTCTTCTCCTTCCTTGAAACACTTTCCCCTTAGATATCCATATTATTATTTCTCACTTTCTTCAGATCTTTTCTAATTGTCTCCTTTTCCAAGTCCTTCTCTGGCCATTCCATAAAAATGTAACACCCCTCTGTCATTCTGTCCCCTTTCCCTACCTTTTTCCTTAACACTTAGTTTCACCAAAGAGATCATATGTATTACTTATCCTGTTTATTGTCCACCCCCCTCAGTCTCTGTGAGAGCAGGGATTTTCATTTGTTTTCTTCTTTGCTATATCCCTAGTATCTGAAACAGTACCTGGCACATAGTAGATGCTCAATAAATATTTGTTAAATGAGTAAAAAACTGGGAGGAAACACAGTATTGTCATTGAATGTATGACATCTGGACTAAAAAGCCTGGGTTTTAATAAAATACATAGGAGAAAACATAGGTACTAAACGTATAGAATAGATCTTGGTCTCAGAGAAGGTTTTGTGACTTTGACACTAAAGACAAGGGAAGTAAAAACAAAAATAAATGAATGGGACTATATGAAACTAAAAAGTTCTGCACAGCAAAAGAAACTGTCAACAAACAGAAAGGCACCCAACTGAATGGGAAAAGATATTTGCAAACAATACCTCTGATAAGGGGCTAATATCCAAATTATAGAAAGAACTCATACAACTCACCAACAGCAACAAACCCCAACCAATTCGACTAAAAAAATGGGCAGAGGACCTGATCAGGCACTTTTCCCACGACAACATACAAATGGCCAACAGATATATGAAAAGATACGTAGCTCCACTAGCTATGGGACATGCAAATCTAACCCACAATGAAATACCACCTCACACCTTTTAGAATGGCTGTTATCAATAAGACAAGAGATGGTAAGTGTTGGAGATGTGGAGAAAAGGAAACCCTCATACACTGTAAGTAGGAATGTAAATTAATGCAGTCACCATTGAAAACTGTGTGTAGCTTTCTCAAAAAATTAAGAGTAGAGCTACCAGCTGACTAGCAATCCCTTTTCTGGTTATCTACCAGAAAAATTTGGAAACATTTATTTATAAAGATATATGTACCCCTATGCTCATTACATCACACTGGCCAAGACTTGGGAACAACCTAAGTGTCCTCCAATGGATGATGAGATGAAGAAGCTGTGCTACATATACACAATGGAATACTACTCAGCCAGAAGAAAGGATGAAATACTGCCATTTGCAACAACTTGAATGGGTCTTGAGAGTATCATGCTAAGCGAAATAAGATGGAAAAGGACAAGAACTGTAGGTAGCAAGATGATGAGACCTCAGTTCTGGTCTTCCTGAAGGAAAGATTTCAATCAAGAGACAACGTGTAGTCCTGGCTGGTTTCCAAGTGGTTAGAGCGCCGGCTTGCGATCCAGAGAGACCTGGGTTCGGTTCCTGCTAAGAGCGCGTACCTCAGTTGCAGTTTGTCCCCGACCCTGATTGGTCATGCGGGTGGCAGCCACTCTATGTGTCCCTTTCACGTCGATGTTTCTCTCTCTCTCTCTCTCTCCCTCCCACTCCATCTGAACAAAAAATGGAAAAATGTTCTCGGGTGAGGATAAAAAAAAAAAGAGAGAGAGACAACGTGCAGCAAAGTAAGAAAGAATTTATTGGCTGCAGCAAAGACACACTTAGGACAGTGAATCAAGGAAGGCACAGAAGAAGCAACAGGAGAGCCAACACTGGGCTGCTTCGGCCCACGGAGAAGTCAGAGAAAAGGGGGCCTTGGAGACAGGTTCAGGGGGATATCCTGGGACCACCTGCCGCTGCCCATTGCTCCCCTGGTTGCCAGTCTCCCGGGTCCCTTAGAGGGAAGACGGGGGAAGGGAATGGCGCTGGCGCGCTCCCTGGGGGAGAGCCACACTGGGTCCTTCATCCTGAGTGGGTTTATCTCTCTTGCAGGTGGGAATCTTAGGGGAGGTCTCAGGGGAGGGTCTAAATAGAATATTCATTAGCTTTCCAGGTGTGCTCTTGCAGGCATTAGTCAATGCAGCTGGTCCTGAGGCCACCACGGTGTCACCTGTCTGGTTTTGTTGCTTTTCTGGGCCTGGAGCTGAAACACAACTGAGGCCTAGATGTTATCTTTAGGGAGGAAAGGTCAGGGGTCCAAACCACATGAGCAGTGATATGCTGGGGGAGGATAGGTTACCCTGGGGGCGGGGTCCTTGTTTTCCCAGTTTTGCCCCTGGCTGGGCATCTGGGGCTTTCTGCCCTGGTGAGTTTCTGTACCTGGCCCATCGTCCCTGCTCTGCTCGTCTAACTGCCTAAAACAGAGCCACATTATTTCAATCATATGTGGGATATAGAACAGAAAGCAACAAAAGAAAAAACAAGCAAAAAGAAAACATCATATAGACACAGACAACAAACAGTATAGTGGTTACCAGACAGGAAGTGTAGGGAGGTTGAAGAGGGTAAAGGGGGGTCAGATGTATGGTGACAGGAGACTAGACTTTGGGTGGTGAGCACACAGTGCAATAAACACGGTGTGGCAAAGTAGGTTTACAGTTTATTCTTGTGTTATTATTTATCAGTAATAATTTACAAACACCTGTAAACCCACTTTTGCCTCACACATGTGTGTTACAGAATTATACACTTGAAATTTATATAATCACATGAACCAGTGTCACCCCAATAAATTTAATAATAATAATAATAAGCCTGTGTTTTCATGCTGGCTCAGCCACTTACGGGCTGAGACTTCCAGCAAGGCCCTGGGCCTCCCGGGCGCCTCAGTTCCCTCACGGGTACCACGGGATGCACACCGCCTCCTGGGGCAGCTGAGAACGTGGAGGGGTTTCACATCGAACTCGCCTCTGGCCTAATTCCAAACTCTAAGCTGAGGAAATGGCAGGCGGCCTCATTGCTCCTGGAGACCCCCAAATTGGACACTCCGTTTTGCATCCATAACAGGCCAAATGCACCTGCTCCCCTTGGGTGACAATCCACAGTTTCTTTCCAGATTGGCCATCCTTAGACCACCTGAACTCAACTTTCCCAACTAAAGCGGCTGGGCCTCTCTGGAACAACCTCCTCACAGCCTCGTCCTCCTCAGACCTCTGAGGCCGCTGCCTCCTAAATCTCAGCAGGCCACCCCCCCCCCCCCCAGGAGCCGGGTGGGAAACGAGAGGGATATAGGCGAGGGAGGGGAGGGCGAGAATATGAATACATATGCGAGCTGGGGAGGGGAGGGAGAGGAGGTCAAGCCATCACCACCTGCCAGCTTCCTGTCCTTGCCTGCTGATAAATAGGGGATACTCAGGGCCAGATTTTCCATTCCCCCTCACCCCATCCTGGCACCCGCTGTCACTCACTTAAAAAAAGATAGAGGGAGAGGGCCTGGGGGAGGGGCAGGCAGCCTCTACTTATAAAGCCCGTGGCTAGGGGTGAGCACACTGAGCCGGCCTGCCCAGTCCTCAGCCCGTCACAACCCAGCAGATTTAGCTGTTGACAGCTGCTTGGGACTTCACTGCCAGGCCCTGGCCGCGACCGCCGCCTCTCCTCGCCCTCAGTGACTCCCCGCTACAGCCCCTCCATGGCCCAGAAAGAACAGGCCGCTGAAGCTGCTGCTCCTGCCTCCCAGAATGGTGAGGATCTGGAGAACCTGGACGACCCTGAGAAGCTAAAGGAGCTGATTGAGCTGCCACCCTTCGAGATCGTCACAGGGTGAGAGTGTGTGGCCTGGGCTCCTGCTCCCCGGAGGAGCACAGGCTGGGAAGAGCCTGGGACTTAGGATGGTAATGGTAGGAGCCAGGGTCAAACTGTGAGCGTGCACTGGTGTGCACGGTAGGGGCTCTGGGGACACAGCAGCAAGTCTCAGCTGGCTTCTCGGGGTGACACCATGGACCCTGTATTCAGGGGAGGTAGGAGGAGCTCCTTGGAGGCCATGTAACCACCCTTGAGGCCTGCTGGTGTTGGGACATCACCTGCCTCTGTTCAGTCCCAGGGAATCTGCTAAGGACACTGGCGCCTTTAAACATGGCCCCAGTCAAAGACCCCCTCCCTCCCCTCTCTGCTTCTGAGCCTCCCCTCCATCTGCATGTCTCTCACTTTCTCTTAGAGCCTCTCTCGGGAGAAGATCCTAAAACAGGAGAGAGACTCATCCTTTCTCAAGCCTGAGAGAGAAGCAGTTTGTCCTTGTCCGTCTTTCCTGAGCTTCCCCAGGGGCTGTTCACATCCAGCCCAGGGAAACAGAGAGGTCACAGCACGGGCCACACAGGCCAGGGCCAGGGGCTTCTGGACGGAGGAGGGTCCCCACCCCTGCAGCCACAGCCCGGAGGAACCAGGACCCAGAGCAAAGGTCTCGAGGCCCCGAGGGGCTGCACACAGGGTCCTTCTGTCCGTCCACATCGTGCCGGCTCCAGGGATAAACCCTGGTCTTCCTCCTCTTCCCTCTGTGTCCCTGCTAATGTCCTAAGCCAAGAATAAGAAGGGGATACGTGGGGCCACGTTCCTCCCGAACCCCAAGGTTTCCCTCCTGGGGTCCAGCAATGCCCGCAGGCAGAGTAGGGGCGGCACTAAGAAATCTCAGAAGAAAGGAGGCGTGATGCCTTCCGGGGGCGGAAGGGTCCCTGGTGGCATTTCGGAGCTGCCGGTTTAAGGAACTTCCCAGTCCTGGCCTCGGTGTTTTCCTCTGTAACATGAGCAGGTCACGCTCGCTGATGCCAGGGATCCCTTCGGCTCAGTTATTTTCCAGTTGCTAAGAGAACCTGAGGGAAATGCACCCTAATTCCAGAGGCCAGAGTTCAGGGTAGCACCCCTGAACTTGTGTTTGGCCATGCCCAACCAACTAGTGTCGCCCTCAACCTAGGGTAAAAAAAGCAACGGGCGCAGATGAGCATAAACACAGGGCGAGCTGAGAACCAGAGCCCTCGCCTCCAGGCGCTCTGCACGGAAGGGTCCGTTCTCCAGCCGCAAGCACGGGGGTGCAGGCTGTCCTGGTCACGCGGACACGCCCACGCACGCCCGTCTGCGCAGGGCCGTGGTCCCGTCACAGGCACCGGGTCGGTTCAGAAGCGAGTTAGACCGCGTTGGTTTAGTTGAATAAGCTGCGGAGTCCCCGGGTGGTGGGTCCTAGAGGGTTCAGCCCTCCGAGGTGACCTACATCTGTCCAGGTCTTGATCATGGCACACTTTCATGAGCTCCTTCAGCCTCAGCACAGCGCTAGGAGAGGGGGCTGTGTGACAGCCGCTCGGATGGGGAAACAGAGTCAGGGAGGGTGAGTGACTTGTCGGAGACCTCAGAACCAGTAAGTGGCAGGCCCTGTGACTCCGGCCAAGTGTCCTTCCCTGTCTCTTCCTCGTTGTGGCTCCCAGGTTTACACACAGAGCTCCACCTGTCTCCGGCTGCAGGGCAGTGTGCTTGAGGCTTCCCCTACCCCCAAGGCTCAGAAACAGACGCCCAGGTCCGGCGGCTTTCCGGGAGCTCAGAGCAGCTCAGGAGGGAGGTGGAGCCCGGAATGTCTCCTGGCCACCAGTGACAGCTGTGGAGATTTGTCTCCTGGGCCCCTTGGGGTAAACAGATGGCTGAAAATAGCTCAGAGGTGTGGCTGTGTCTCTGCAGGGACAGGATGAGGGAAAGACTCCTTCTTCCTTCTCCAGATGCCCTGGGGTCAAAGGGTTCCCAAGCATGTCCTCTCCTCGCTAGGACTCCCACAGGGGTGGCTCTGTCCATACTGCGTCTCAGCCTTCAGCCACAAACTGGCAGAGAGCAGGTGGCCCGTCAGCACACAGCCTGGGGTGAGGCGGGCGTACCTGGGGGAAACAGAGACTTGGCTTGATTCTGGCTTGAGCAGGGCGCTCAGGATAGCAGCAGACCTAAGGGCATTAACACAGTAACGGTGCAAAGGGACAGAAGGGGTGTACCACTGCGGTGGCGTGCCCCGCCAGCTCACGTGGGCCGAGGGGACCGTGCGTCTCTCTCCTCAGCTGCGGGTTCTTGAACAGATGTCAGCAAAGTTAGAAGTCAGAGTTTTCTCTCTTTCAGTTTGCTGGGTGCAAACTAGCACGCTGCTGAGAGGAGCCTCTCCCGAGAGGAAGAGCGGGGCCGAGGCTTGGTGGAGTTTAGACGGTGCTCTGGGGGGTGCGATGTGAGGCCCAGAAAAGGCACCATCATCCTGGCCAGTGGCTAAGTGGTTACGGGTTTGATTCTGGTCAGTGGCACCAACCTGCACCTGGGTAGCAGGTTCGATCCCTGTCGGTCGGGGCACATGCAGCAGGCCACCAATAGATGTCTCTCTCTTTCTCCTCCCTCCCGCCCTGCCTTCCACTGTCTCCAAACATCAATGGAAAACATATCCTCAAGTGAGGATTAAAAACAACAAAAAAGGCACCATCCATCAATACTAGGTTTAATTTCTTGAGTGTCTACAGTTGTTTAAAATCTGAGGGGTTGGGTGACTCAACCTACTTTCAGAGGAGGAACCAAGCCTTTGAAGGGTTCATAATTTGTCCAAAGCTAATGGACAGCGCAGCGCGCAATCCCCAGGATTAACCGACAGCGAATCACCACACTGTCTTAAAAAGCCTCAAGAGGAGTCTTTTATGGTCAATGGTATTTACAGAACAGGAGTCATGTCTTTGCTGCCCCTTCCTCCACTAGTGTTTTACTTCCATGAGGACAGGAACTTTGCCTTCCAACTGCTCTGTCCCTACCCCTAGAATAGTACCCAGCTCCTAATACATAAGGAATTTTTGTTTTTGAATAAAGGGATGGACTGATGATGAGCACCTATTGTGTGTGGGGCTCTCTGCCAGGTGCCGGGATAGGGACTTAATTTCGGGAAGAACTTGAGGCGAGAAATTCTGCAGATACGAAGACCCAGTAGCACTAGGCTCAGAAGAGGGTTTCACGGTCCACGGCTGCCTTTGGCTTGGCATGCTGTAGGGAGGCTCTGGGCCCCAGAACCGGCTGTGTCCTGTCTCCCGTCCCAGTGACAGGTGACTGCGGCTCTGCCGGGCGGCACCTGTGTGTCTGCCTCGAGTTATGTCGTGTATGACTTTGCATGAAGCTGAATTTGCTAGCAAAGGGGTTATCATGGAACAGAGATAAATGGCACCGCCAGGGATTCCCCTTCTGACCCCTTCTTTAGCTCCCGTAATTTACTCAGGCCGTGGGAGGGGCAGACAGACAAGGCAGGGTTCAAAAGAAAGGGACAGGCGAGGAGTGAGGGCCTGCAACACCACTGTTAATGCCACAAGCCCCTCACCCTTACCCAGCACTCGAGCATGCCAGGAAGAATCGTGTATTGAGCCAAACTATGGACAAATGCCAGGAGGCAAAACCTCAAGAGATTGAGACAATGCTCTGGAGAACGGCAGTTTCGCACCTTCATTTATACATTACCATCCAAAGAGAAGATGTAAGTGGGTTACATGAAGTCCACTGGTGATAGATTAGGGAGGTGGGAGATAGCAAAGCGGGGAGAAATCTCTAGGATTGATAAAAAGTAACGTGATAGACACATGCTTCTTTTACATAGGTGGGTACAGGCTAGTTAACAGACTAGCATGTGGCCCCTTTGCGTCCACGGTTGGTTAGAGCATTGTTCCATACCCCCAAAAGGCTGTGGATGCCATCCCCAGTCCGGCACACACAGGAGGCCACCAATCGATGTTTCTCTCTCTGTTTTTCCTCTCCCTTCTTCTTTCTCTAAAATCAGTAAAATGAAAAACATCCTGGGGAGAGGATTACAAAAAAAACAAAAGGCTAGCAGACACCACTGGCTGACCACCCTGGTCGCCACTGAGGGCCGGGGAAGGTCAAAGCTGGGTCAAGACATGCTGTCTGGGGGGAGGGGCGGGCTCTGGCCTGCCGGGGGCTGTCCTCCCAGAACTGCAGACCAGAAGCCTGCAGCCACCACACCTGTGCAGCTCTAGGAAGTCCCAGTTCCCACTGGGCTTCTCCCCCCTCCTGACTAGGCCCACTCCTTAGCATCCTGCTGAAAGTGTACTGAAAGGGAAAGGAACCTGAAACTGACCGTTCGGCCTCTTTCCAGCAGGTCTAGTGAGGGAAAAACATCCTGAAATGAGTCAACACCCAATGACCTGTGAGTGGATTTTCCACTCCATGGATTATGTTGGAGCAAATGTTTAATCTCAGACCAGCATCTCCTGCCCTCAAGGTTGCTTCTTTTCACTGAATAGATTTATGCTTAGGAGATGCAAATGTTTTTAAATGTGAACACATGAAAAACACACACACACACACACACACACACACACACACTCACATCTTTCCCCTCCACCAACAGACCATCATCCCAGCTTTTCCCAGATACCTGGAGTGCCGGTTCCTGCCCAGAGAACTGCCCGCCCAGCAGCCTGGGTCTGGGCAGCCTGTGCGGCCTCGTCTGCAGACAGTGTGAGGAAGTGCTGCTGGAAGAGGCGCGTCTCAGGCTGGGGGTGGGAATAACGCTGATGGTTTTTGTGCCTAAAGAAGCCACTGAGCCCAAGTATAAAAAATCCACCGTCGCTCTCTCTCCTGACCCCCCCCCCCTTTAGCAGTAACACAGCTGCTAGGGTTCACAGTATAAGTAAATGTGGTCCTCAGGCATATCAAGCTACTTAGAATAAAAAATGTTTGTGATCACTTAAGAAGTGACACTATGTCCCTCCTCCTACGAGTGGGCGTGGTCGTGCAGACTTCTGTGATCAGTCCCCGAGATGCCCATGGTGCCTGAGCTCCCCGGGGAGCTTCAGACCTCTGCCGGCTCTGCTCCCCTGGTTCTCCTCAAGGGCCTCGCTGTTTCAGTCAGTGGGGATCCCCAAAGAACCCCGATGGATCCTTATGCTCCCTCCAGAAGACTGAAAAGGAGCAGCCAGCAAGCTGGGTCTCTGAGGAAGCCCAAAGGGAGGACCGGGAGCCCGGGCCGCGGGCTTTGCTGTGCCCCTGGAAAGCACTGCCCTTCCCGGGCATCTATTTGCTCTCACTCTGTTGTCTCTGCTGAGGGACAGGGAAGACCGGGCTGCTGGCCAGAGGGGCTGGGAAACAGTACTTATAGAGGTGAACTTTCTTCTCCTCCCATGGCTCCACGTTTCTCTGGGAACTCCCCCTGGCCCAGGGGAGGAGGAGGGAAAACACCAGAACTGAAGAGGGAGGGGCTGAGAAAAACAAATCGCACACTGGGTCAAACCCATACCCTCGGCGGGGTTGTGCTTGGCCAAGTTGGAGCCATACTTCTGGGGGTTCCAGAAGAAAACGTGCGGGACACAGACAGCAGTTGCTGAAGCCCCCAGCCAGCCACGCAGTCACGAACACAGCAGGTCCTCCGAGAACCACGGTTCTTTCAGCGACGTTCCATCTCAATGTTGACGAGATGCCATAGGAACTTCAGTCTTGTTCATATCAGCTAACCTATGGTAAAATCGGTTTTGTATATACACGTTTTGCATAAAGTTGCAGAACTTATTGACAGGTGCCTCCGGATTAGGCTCGGGGTGAGGTGGGGTGGTCTGGCAAAAGGCCTTGAAAAGCAAAAAACGGTTTTGGGCAAGAAAGGTAAACGCTGTGTTTCTTGGAAGGAGAAAACCACTCCAGGAAGAGAAGGGATCGTTTAGCAACCAGCAAAGTTCAGGAGTGGTCTGGTGGGGTGAGTGTCATTAGGGAGAGCTAATCCCAGCAGGGGCTGAAGAGAAGAGGGGAGTCATCAGGTCATCCACTCCCAATATACTAAGTAAATAATAAACACATCCAACCAGGGACAGAGGGGGCTTAGAGAGCTAAGTATAGCACCCAAAGGAATCCCTGGGGCTGGGTCCTCAAATGCATCCAGCTCTGAAGTGGAAACTTAATTTGCCAGCAAGAGACATGGAAACCGGGGTAGAGAAAAATTGGTGATGGGGGAAGGGAAACAGCTCAGGTTCACTCAGCTCTTTGGCACCTGCTGCTTATGCCTAAGAAGCCAAGGCCCTGGGATACCAGGGATTCCCCTGCAGTCCAGGGAGTTAGGTGACCTCTTCGGGGAACAGAAGGCAGGGACAGAAGCGACAATGAAGCTAATGGTTGCCTCAGGGTATCTTCTGAGGCAGCCACAGAGATTACATTTTTATTTTGAGACGTTTTATAAGTTTATTTGAGCCAAACTGATGATATATGCTGGGGAGCAAGATCTCAAATGCTCCAGAGATTACATTTTTAAAGAAGAAAACCGTCAACCTGTCCAGCTGGTGCCACTCACCCTCTGCTCTGCTGGCATTTCCTTTTTCTCCCTCCTGGCATTTTCTCTCTCCCGGTAAAGCTGCCACGTTCTCCTTGGCCTTCAAACCTACACAAATCTTCCTATTTTGGAAAAACACAGGCGTACACATCAAGATCAAAACAATCTTCAACGCTGATGCCCTCTCCAGTTCCTCTGCTTTTTTCCCTTCTTCTTACTACTAAACTGTTCAAGAAACCTGGCCTTTCTCTGCTTTCATTTCGTCCATTTCCCCTTGAAGCCACTGGACAGGTCCATCCCCGAGTCGTTTCCTCGGACACCAGCGGGCTCTTTCTCAGGCTTCCCCCAGCTTCACTGTCTGCTTGACGCCACCTGTCCTCTTCCGTGGACATGGCTTGTGCGCGTCTTTCTTTCTCTTCTTTGTGTGCACCACTCCCGGAAGTGCTAACAGACACTCAGAGTGGACGAAGCCAACTCCTATTCCACCTCCCTGCTCCAAAACCCCATTTAATATATTGTCCTTGGGCAGAGGACAGAGCTGATATTAATCTGATCAGAACAGATACTGTACTTGATCTTAGCCAAAAGGCCAAGAAGCGACTATGTCTAGTTATTCGAGAACCTGTAGTGATTCTCTATTGCCTCCTGAATCAAGGCTAAACTCAAACCCTTTGCATGTCCCCCACTTGACTCAGTCATTTTTAGCAGTTTTCTGTTTTCGGCTATCTTATTTATATCTTCTCTGTCCAGCTAGAATTGAGCTGCTAGAGTAAAGGCATCTGGAGGGCAGAGGCCAAATCCTTCCTGATTTTGAAATGATTCAATATTATATACAAGCTGAATCATATCAAGATACCCTTAAGTATCCAAGCTAAAAATTCTTGGACACTAGCCCTGGCCCCTGTGGCTCAGTGGTCAGAGCGTTGGCCCTTGCACCGAAGGGTCGAGTGTTCGATTCCCAGTCAAAGGCATGTGCTGGGTTGCAGATTTCATCCAAGACCAAGGTGGGGCATATGTGGGAGGCAACCAATCCATATGTCTCTCTCACATGGATGTTTCTCTCTCTCCCCGCCTCCCTTCTACTCTCTAAAAATCAGTGGGAAAAAATACCCTCACGCGAGGATTAACAACAAAAGAATTACTGGGCACTTATGTGACAACCGTCTTTCACCCGAGGAAAAGGATAGGCTCGAGGACATCACTAGGAGAGCACGGCACTGCAAACCGTAGGCCACTCTAAGAGAACATGCAACAGACAGGAGTGAGGAGGGATGAAAGCATAAAACGTCTGCGAGCCCTGGCCAGTTTTGCTTAGCAGTTAGAGCGTCAGCCTGCGGACCAGAGTCCCGGGTTCGGTTCGTGTAAGGGCATGTACCTTGGTTGCAGTTCGTCCCCAGCCCAGATGGGGTTGTGTGGGTGGGTGGCAACCAGTCGATGTGTCTCTCTCACATCAATGTTTCTCCCTCTCTTCCTCCCGCTCTGAGGATAAATGCAAAAATGTCCTTGGGTGAGGATTAAAAAAAAATTCTGCAAAATCTGTCTTGCTTGGGAAATTTTATATGCTTGCTACTTTGTAAAATTACCATTTGAACACTGCTTTTCAAACCTGGCCACAAATTAGGATCATCCAGAGAGCTTTTTAAAATGCTGATGCCTAGGCCCCCACCAGGTGTTCTGATTGAGTTGGGTTCGTCGGGCCCAGGCCTCATTTATAGAGCCTTCTAGGTGATTCTGGTGGAGAGCCCGGTCAGTCATTGGTGTAGAAATGGAGGTGTGCGTCGTGCATCCAGCGATGCTGGGGTTTGGAGACCGACCCTACTGGGGGGACTGGAATGCACACCTCACTCCAAATTCTTTCCTCCAGATAAACCCTTTGGCACTCTCTATGCCTTTTGGCACTCATGCTGAGATCTTGGAGAGCTACCCAGTCCAGGATGGCTCCAGAAACAAGAACTCATTCTCTCCCCCGTTGCTTTGTCTTGACCCACAGGGAGCGGCTGCCTGTCAACTTCTTCAAGTTCCAGTTCCGGAACGTGGAGTACAGTTCCGGGCGGAACAAGACCTTCCTCTGCTACGTGATTGAAGCGCAGGACAAGGGAGGCCAGGTGCAGGCCACCCGGGGATACCTGGAGGACGAGCACGCCACTGCCCACGCCGAGGAAGCCTTCTTCAAAACGGTGGTGCCGAACTTCGACCCGGCCCTGCGCTACAACGTCACCTGGTACGTGTCCTCCAGCCCCTGCGTGGCGTGCGCCGAGCGCATCATCAGCACCCTGAGCAAAACCAAGAACCTGCGCCTGCTCATCCTGGTGGGGCGCCTGTTCATGTGGGAGGAGCCCGAGATCCAGGCGGCGCTCAAGAAGCTCAAGGAGGCCGGCTGCAGGCTGCGCATCATGAAGCCCCAGGACTTCGAGTACATCTGGCAGAACTTCGTGGAGCAGGAAGAGGGCGAATCCAAGGCCTTCGAGCCCTGGGAGGACATTCAGGAGAACTTCCTGTACTACGAGGAAAAGCTGGCCGACATCCTGAAGTAGGCGGGCTCGGCCTCACGTGAGTCCCGGCACCACCACTCCCCTGGAGGGCAGAGGCTGGGGTCAGGTGGACCCAGCGGGGCTCCATTCTCCGGGGAAGGGTTTCATCTCTGCTCTGGGTGGACTGCAAAAACATTCTGAAAGATCCTGTCTCCTTTTAGTTCTCGCCCTAAATTCTTTTCCCTCCGACCCTTTTATATCAGACTACCTTTCCCCAGGACGTGGAATATGCAGGGTTGACAGGAATCTGAACACTCTGATGCGACAGGGCTGCTTGTAGGAAGATCTGGATGGTACGGGGCTGCTACTGAAGGGCCTAGAATGTATTTCAGTCCCCTAAGCATGCCCCCGTGTGTTCATGCAGAGTCATTCATTCTGGACACCTTGTGGAAAGCTGCAATCTTACCTTTGCATTTCTTTAAACAGGCGCTTCATTCTATCGGGAGCGATTTTTTTGTTTCATTTTTGATACTTTTGAAATTCCCCAACATTTTTTGGCCAGAGAAGCAAGCTTTCATGTTTTCATACACATGGTTCTGCTTTGAGGGAAACCAGTAATTGCTGTGTGAAATGTATAATGCAGGAACATTTTTCTGATGTTGAGAAGACCTCAGCAGAACTCAGAGAAAAATGCTGAATGCAGGCATGGGGATAATATAGCAACAAGTTCTTCCACGTGGGAATGTTTAAAGGGTTAAAAAGATGTTTGTAAATTAGTCAGCAGCTCAGAAGTAGCCTCCTACCGATATGAAGATGTGATAGGAGAACTGGAGTAAAAATTAGCTATTTAAGCAAATAATTAGGACACAATTAAGGCCAATTTGGCCTCTTGCTGAGGGTAAATTAGACTCTTACAGAAACAGGCTGATTACCCTCAGGAAAGAGGGTACAGAATCCTTTACTGTCTTTTTTTGAATTTGATCTAGTCTGCTTTGCTCCCACAGCAATGCTACGATCAAGTCCCCTTACAAGGCCCGAGTTACTGATCAAAGTCCTCCAGGAATAAAGAATATTGGTCTTCCCCACCCTCTTCAACAACCTTCATTCTGGAATAACTCACATTTACTCACACACAAAAGCAGCATGCTTCCATAAAGTTATTCAAGTTTTGGTGTCTCTTACTCTTAATATTCTTTTTTTTTTTTTTTCCTATCCTCACTGGAGGACATTTTTCCATTTTTTGTTCAGATAGAGTGGGAGGGAGAGAGGGAGGAAGAGAGAGAGAGACAGAAACATCGACATGAAAGGGACACATCGAGTAGTTGCCACCCGCATGACCAACCAGGGCCGGGGACAAACTGCAACCGAGGTACATTCCCTTAGCGGGAACCAAACCTGAGTCTCTCTGGACCGCAGGCCAACACTCTAACCGCTGAGCCAAGCTGGCCAGGGCTCACTCTTAATATTCTTAAGTTGTTGCTTCACAAACACGTTTTGAAAATATCAATTTCTGGCCCAGCCAGTGTGGCTCAGTGTTTGAGCGTCAACCCATGGCACCAAGAGGTCGCCAGGTTCAATTCCTGGTCAGGGTACATGCCCAGGTTGTGGGCCTGATCCTCAGTGAGGGGCATGCAGGAGGCGCCCAATCGATGTTCTCTCTCTTCGATGTTTCTAGCTCTCTCTCCCCCTTCCTCTCTCTAAAACAAATAAAGGAAAAAAAATTTTCTGGAGCTTGATGTTGGCAGGTGTTTGCTAAGAAGTACACTCCTGCCCTGGCTCGTTTGGCTCAGTGGACTGAAGTGTCGAGGGTTTGATTCACAGTCAAGGGCATGTACCTAGGTTACAGGTTCAATCCCCAGCCCTGGTCATGGAGAAAGCAACTGATTGATGTCTCTCTCTCTCACATCAATGTTTTTCTCTCTCTCCCTTCCTCCCTCTCTTCCACTCTATCCGAAAAATCAATGGAAAAATATCCTCGGGTGAGGATTAAAAAATAAAAATAAAAAATAGAAGTGCACTCAGGGTGCCTGATAATTCTCCAGTTGAGCATTTGCCAATCCATGAAGATACGATTTTCAGCCATTTCTGACAAAAAAGCAGGACCATCATTGAATTCACTGAGACTATGGTGAGGTAATGTCATGTGGTACTCTGCTCATATAAAATAAGACACTACTTTGAGTGGTGGTGAGTGGTAATAAAAAGAGATTTCTAAGGGTGCCCTCTGAAAATACAAAATTAGCTTTTCAATTCCTTGAAGATTTTATTAGCGTAGGTACTATCACTGTAACTATAAACCCTACATAGATCCTACAGAATGACTGGTAGTTTTATTTTTTAACCCTAGGTACCATCTTCTTAAACATCTTCCAGAGTCATGGACCGTTACTTCCAGCTGTCTAACTAGCAAGTCCTCAGGGATTCGTGGGTGGTGGTGGTGTTGTTTTCCATTAAGTCAGATGAGATAGTTAAATCTGCCATAAAAATTAAGCAATTCAAGGAGAATTAAAAAGAGCTTTTAATATTGGATAATTGAGGGTTGTACCTTATGCTAATCTAAACAGAAGTAAAATAGATCAGTTTGATGGAAAAAGTCCATGTCTAAGTCCAATTATTCTTAATAAAATGTTATTGGACATGTTCCACATTATAAGCCTCTTTCCATTAGTGAACAGAACTATATGATCTGGACCCATTATGCACATGCTTCCCTGCACCCTATTTCAGTTGCTTATGTTCCTGAAGGAAAAGGTTATAATGTACCAAGTTAAAAAAAAAAAAAAAAAAAAAAAAAGGCATAAAATAAGGGTTATCATCCAAAAGCCCCAAAGAACAACTCTGCTTAATTAAAATACTTCCAAGAAATGGGAATTTGTTAAAGAAAATTTTCCTCATATTTCTTATTCTACCTTTTAAAAAAATGACAGATTAGGATTTAACCATGTAATCACGTCAAAAGAACAGTTAAAACAGGTCTCTCCTGGGGCTCTCTCTGTGCGAACCATACCAAACGTGAATGGCACAAATCCCACATGGGTAAACCAGTAGTCACAGGACACTATGTAGAAATTCAGGGACTTGGGGAAGGTACACAGAAACCCTAATTTAAAAAAAAAAAAAAAAAAAACCTCTTTATCGTTGGGCCAGCAGGGCTCTCAGTAACACGTTTTCTGTCTTCTCAAGGTCTGCCTGCTGCCAAGAGACAGCAGTGACATGTATGGCCATCTGGGACATGCCTGACTTCCTGATACCACTTGGAGCTGGACAACATTTGACATCAACCAATCCCACTGCACAAGGCCCTGGACTCCAAATATACTTCTCATGATGTAAATCACTTCAATTGTGCCTCTCTCTCTAAGGCTGCTCTTGGGAAAGGACGGTTGCAAGGAGAAATAACCACCATGTGTGGGTGCCAAGCATCATGGGGCTGAGGGTTCTAATTATCCCCCAAATGGGCTGCTTAAGGCAAACAGCCTCAGACCCAAGATCTGTGCAGATCTTTGAAATATGTCCAGAAATGCATTGATATTAACTTGGTCTTTTTTTTTTTTTTTTTTTTTAAAGAAACACAAGCAGCAACAATAAAAAGTGGTGTGGATTTTCTGTGACCATGTTTTTTAAGGAACTTGAACATTTAGATGTTAACTATGGACAGGGATGAAGTCCCAGGAATAGGGATTGCCTAGGCTATGAACCAAGCCACACTGTAAGTGGGAGGGCGGCTGAAACCAGGACTTGTCTAGGCAATACAGGACACTAACTCTCCCATGTAGACGTCTCATCCTCGTCTTGACCTTCATAAAATATTTTCTTCTGAGATTCCCTGAGTGTCTTTTGCCTTGTCTGAAGACAAGGAATATGGTAGACGGTAAAGCAAAAGACATGAGAAATGTATGTAAAATATCCATGCCCCAACAGTCAATTAATAAGCAATTAGCCTCTTGACTAACTAGAAGTGAGAAATATGAAGATTTCAATGTTCAGATACACAATATAAGAGTTGTCAACATGTGTACTTGATGGTGATGACAGGATGATGTCAAAGTCTCATTTCTTAAAGATTCAAGTTCTATATAGAAGTACAATTTTACATGTGAATTTCTGGATGTTTGCCAAACTCTAACTAGGTTTCCAGGAATAATGTGTTCATTCTGATTATCAGGCAATGCCTTTCCCCAGACTTTGAGTGTGATTAAGACATTGGAATTTGACCCCAAGACTATCTACAAATAAAGCATTTTATCACATTCCTGCTGAGTCCCAGAGTTCCGCTTACAGCCAGTTCTCCACAAGACTAAGACTTGTTAGAAAAAAAAAAATCGAGTCATACTCCCTGAAAAACATTCTCCCTAATCCCTCCCTTTCCACGTAGAAGCAGCCTTCAAACCAATGTTAATATTTATTTGCATAGTTAGCAAAATACTTCATTTCCTCTTTTCACCCACTCTCATTTTCAGTTGTATTTAGATTTTCGTCCCTTCTTTTTCCCCCTTCACTTTTACTACTACTAATGAACAGCAGCAATGCCTCTTCTAGAAAAGCCTTAGTCTAAGTTTGATAATGAACTTGCTCCTGGCACTACCCCAGCCCAACTACACGGAGAACTTGTCTGTTCCACACAGAGGTACAAAAGACATGAAATACTTTCTGAAACTGCTGCCTCATATCAGGCTGCAATGTGATAAGAACACACGTCTAAAGTACAAAGGCTATATTTAACCAGTGCACTCCGGTGTTTCAACAAGCACATTCTAAAATCCAGTTTTTTATACTTGGGAAAGCAAGTCCAGGATTCACTCAAGGGAGAAAAATCAATAGTAAGTCTGGCTGTTTTAACTTACACCACCACAGTTCGGGGGAGGGGAGGGAACTCCACTAATGTCCCTCATACCTCTATACTGGGCCAGTGGCTAAATTTATGAACCTTCTTCTCCCACCACTAGAGCAAAGTGTTGTTCTCTCAGCTTAAGAAGGGGACTATTTACTGTTCTCCGTCCCAGATGATTACTCTTCAGCATCCTCCGGAGCTAAGAAACATGGCCATCTTCCCCAACGCCCCAACTACCAAAATAGAATTTGGGGGGGAGAGTGAGGTTTTTTGTTTTTGTTTTTTTAAAGAAGATTCATACAAATTTTGTTGAGAACCAAGTCATTACTCCACAATAAGCACTTTGCCAGGAATTTAACATACATTACTTCAGCCCTGGCCAGTTTGGCTCAGCGGTTAGAGTGTCAGAGAGACCCGGGTTCGGTTCCCGCTAAGGGCACATACCTCGGTTGCAGTTTGTCCCCGGCCCTGGTTGGTCGTGCGGGTGGTAGCCACTCGATGTGTCCCTTTCACATCGATGTTTCTCTCTCTCTCTGCTCCTCTCTCTCCCTCCTACTCTACCTGAACAAAAAAAATGGAAAAATGTCCTCGGGTGAGGATTAAAAAAACAAAAACAAAAATACATACATTACTTCACGTGTAATTACAGAATTCAGACAGGTTCAATCACGGGACTGCGCAGTGGACAGGAGAGCTCACCACGAGGGAAGGCTATAAACCTGCCTTTGCAGTGTGCTGACCCACAGGCGCTGTCCGTTCTTGTTCTCACCACGCTGCTCTTCCCAGAGTCAGAGGTGAACCCTCCACTATCCAAGTCCAGAACCACACAAACGTGTACAGAACCTCACTGTAGCCCAAGAAGATATTTATTTTCCCATTTTTGTTTCCACAAATGCCTTAACAATGTAAAAACCCATTTTTGTAATTTAAACAAACACTCAAAATTCTCTCCTAAGATGAATGTGAGGACATAAGGATAATACCAAGTAAATGCACAAATGACAAAAGATGCAAAATTAACTGAAATGTTCATCCTTCCTGAAATTTCTCTTAAACAGCAGAGAAGTAGAATCAATGCTGCCACCTAGTGGCAAGCCAAACAAATCAGGTAGCATCCTGGAGCAAAACAAGGGTGGTAGAACCCAACACCTGATTCCCGGCCTATCATCAGGCTATCACCTACTTTCTTGCAAAAAGGAAAAAAAAAATCACAGCAACATTTCCCAGCAATCCCTCCTCCAGAGTCCCAGTCCAATCATGGGAATACAGAAACCCAACATGGCCTGTGACAGACAACTTCACATGAAACTTTCCTCTGACAATTTTTAAAGTGAGTTTGCCCAGTCCTATGGCCCAGTAGGGATGACACCAGAAAACACGGACATATCCAAAATGCTCATCAGTTCAGAGTGTGTACACAGTAATTCTGATGTCTGTTGCCTCAAACACCTCCTCAATCATTGCAGATACATTTTCCCATTGCAGACGATCAAGACCACACCCAATCCTGAAAAAGAACAAAACATCTCCACTGGTTGTGATGAAGGTATCTAGGAAAGCACTCCTACCTTCTTCCTTTAGTCTGTATTCACCCAGAGCATGAGAACAAATGATCTGATCTCACACCTATAGGCAGTCATGGTGGAAGTGTGGAAGTTAATTCCTGTTGTGAGCCACCCAAGGCTGTTCCTGACAGCACTAACATCCCACAGCTGTCACATCTCTTTTGCCTACTGATTATCACTTCCCAATTATTTCAAGCAACATTTAGAAATGTACAACTACAGTGATAAGGGAGACTCACGATCCTTCTATGTCTAATGATGAAAACTAGCTGTGGGTGAACAGGAAAAGGCTGGCAATTTAAAAATACACTTATGATCGTGGAAAGTTAAAGATTAAAAAGGAGACAAAGGACAGGATCTCTACGAAAAAAAAGAAAATGGATTGTTGAGAAATGCCAAGCTGATGGCAATTCAGGTCTCTGCAACACCCTGGTGAAAAACTTTTACTGGCCCACAAAACTCTATTACCTAGCACCTTTTCTTCTAAGACGTCACTTTATTGATCCTCAACATCCCTAGGGGAAAAAAAGAGAAGCTTAAAATTGCTAATTTCATAAAATGTGATCGTTAAGTCCCTGAAAAAAATACTGTGATTAAAAAAAGTTTGGCCCTGGCCGGTTTGGCTCAGCAGTTAGAGCGTCGACCTGCGGTCCGGAGAGACCCGGGTTCAGTTCCCGCTGAGGCACGTACTTCGGTTGCAGTTTGTCCCCGGCCCTGGTTGGTCGTGCGGGTGGCAGCCACTCGATGTGTCCCTTCACGTCGATGTTTCTCTCTCTCTCTCCCTCCCACTCTATCTGTACAAAAAATGGAAAAATATCCTCGGGTGAGGATTAAAAAAAAAAAAAAAAAAAAGTTTGATACATAATCCATATATATATTAAAGATCAGTGTAAGACAAGGGACCCTGTAGCCACACAAGTATCTTGGAGCTTGAAGTGAGCTGCATGCATGGTCAGCACTGACTCAAAACCAGACTGACAGAAGAGAAGTAGTGACCTCCAGCCTATTTCCTGAAAAGGATGCAAAGGAGATACCGAAACCCCAATGTCGTTCCTTGAGTTCCCAACAGGTAGGGTCTAAGGCATTACATCGGGGGGCATATCCTTGGCTACTGTCCAAGGTGACCACCACCAAGCACATAGTTGAAAAGGTGGTCATTTACAACTTTCTATGCACATGATTAACAGATTTGGGACACCAGAAGTGGCCCAGAAGGAAATCATAATTGCTTGATTTTGGTTGTTAAGCTTACATTGTTTCGGGAATAAAGGCTAAGCTTCAGGTAGAGGATACTAGAAATTTAACAAATGTGATTCAACAGTGGTTCCTCCCTACTACATAGGTTGAGGCAGGTGTGTGTTTTAAATTAATTATCCTGAGTCATTCAACCCAAGCTAAGAAATGGGTATGCCTGGGCCTAAGGTCTGACAACTGGGTAACTGGTGAGTTTTTTAAAGTTCTGAAATTTTTCCACCTCCAAGCCTGTATTTTGGATTAAGCTTTTGAGTCATTTGTCTTTGGGTAAGACTGTAAACCCCACCAATCAAGTCTTCACTTAGGGCCCTGGATGTCCTTGCCTGGGCATGGAGAGGTCCGTGACTCCATTCTTCAGACAATGGGACTTCATGGCCTCTAAACTCTTCTGTAAGTTTTCATAAGTTGGCTTGTGTGAAGCCCTTTTCTTTGTAATCTGAGTACACAGAAAAAATTCAAACTTCTATTAGTCCAAAATGATAGCTAAAGAAAGCTGTCATATTCTCCCAACACCCTGATAATTAAAACCAGAAGTGCATTTAGAATAGTCTAAAGCAGGGATGACAAACATTATACTATCCCTTCCAGTTATGGGAAGCCTTCAGAAAGACAAACTAAATAGGGCCTGAAAAACCCAGACACTGCCTGGTAATAATCTTTCCTTTTCTCAAGCCCGGGAGGTTAACAGACTATGCCTATTATATACTGTCTTTAACCAAAGTAGGTGAAAGTCTTTGTGCCACTTCCAAGAGATAAGCTACATATTTGTTAACAAGAACTCATATCAACTGAAAATGTCCTGTTAAGTCTATTTACTTAGAAACTATGCTTACTTGCTTGCTTGCTTTTTGTTTCTCTAGAAAAGAACAGAAACAAGTCCGGCCGATGTGGCTCAGTGGTTGAGCATCGACCTGGGCATGTGCCAAGAGGTCGCCGGTTCGATTCCCAGTCAGGGCGCATGCCCAGTTTGTGGGCCAGATCCCCAGTGGGGGGCATACACGATGTTTCTCTCTCTCTCTCTCTCTCCCTCACTTCCTCTCTCTCTAAATTAAAAACAAAAAAACAAAAAAAACAAACAAACAAACAAAAAAACCCAGAACAGAAACAAACTGGTAGTATTCCAAATAACACTGGAAGTCACAGCAGCCTTAAAGACAGCATTCAAAGATATGATCCCACTTAGTGTGCTGTCCAAATCAAGCTCATAGTGGGTTGGCTGTAAGTCACCCAGCAGCCGCACTCTTTCTGGGGCTGAAGACCATTTGGACAGTGGCAGGACCCCACACTGAGGCAGCAAGCAGGAAAGCAGCTGAGTGCACTTGATAAGGAAGAATGAAAAACTCCTTTGGGCAATCTGTCTCTTGAGACATTACTGTTTTTCTATCTCACTATGATAAGAAAAGAATTAAAGTACAGGAGGCATCCCTAACTTTTGCAAGTCTTAGAACACAGGCCTTTAATAGCTGTCACAGTACTTTTTCCTATGGAGCTAGGATGTAGCTTCTTTTCTAACCCAGAGCTCCAAATAGCCATCACCACTGGACCTGAGTTGGTACGAGATCAGCTTTTTGACATCTTCGGTTGTTTAGAATGGAATCTCGTCATCAACACAAAGTCAGCACAGCCTATCTGTTCACCAATCCTTAGAACATATTGAGAATTGGCCCCTCTTACCAAGTAATATATGTATCGCCCATCTCTCTTCAGAACAGCCACCTCTCCAGATTTCTTTTCTAAGAAAAAGTTATTTAATAGTAGAAAGAAAAAAGAAAATCAAACGCTTATCTCCATTCTTAGATTTTTTAAAAATCTTGTTTACCTCAGAACTAATTTTCAACTTTAAAGAAACCTGTTGTCTCCTATGAATACTTTGCTCATCAGCCTTCCTAAATACTGTATTTCTTAGCTTCCAGCTTTCTTAATCGTGTTTTCTTGACCATGTTTTCCTCACACCCCATCTTTTGTCCTGCTCCAATTTTCAAGTACACCCTTACTGTTCATTTAAAAAACTTTGTCTGTTACCTTGACATGTTTTACAATCTACAGCATTCCTTTGCTAAATGTATGTTCATTTAATAATGACCTTTTTACATACAAAAAACTAAGGTTTAAGCATTTATGGGGAACACAGGTGTTCCTAATTAAAAGGGTTTTCAATCAAGAAAAGGTGTCATGTTCATATATAACTACAATACGAAGCAGTAAGAAATAGCCTTTTTAAAGGCTGGGATCAAAACCACCAGTGGAGACGCTGATTGAGTAAGCCTAGATATGGTCTGAGGACCTGTTTCAGAGGCTCCACAGGATTCTAATACACATCTCTGGTTTAACACCATTGGTAGAAAGTGATAGGTGGGGCTTGTAAAAAAAAGGATTCTAAATTCCTCAATACAATATGGGTCAACAGAGGATCTTGAATGACCGGCTAAAACCTGTGGACTTTGCTAAGCACTTCAGAGTAATTAACGTTTTCAGGGAAGTGGAGTATTACCAATAGAGCTTTATGGTATAGGTAGAAGAGATTAGAACTTTTACAAGAGCTCAAGCTTGGTGTAATAAGGACTAAAAAAACAGGCTGTTTTTGTGGAGGAAAAACTTAATCTGATGAGTTAAAAGTACTCAGTGGTCAGGAACCCCCTTTTTACATGTATATCTTATTTAATAGAGGTCAAAAGATGCTCTAGCCAGGGCTTAAGAAATAAGCTGTTTTCAAAACTCACGTTGATTTAACAGTTCCTGCACCCCTCCAAATTTCTTCTTGAAGAGTACAGCTATCCCAGCGCCCATTCGACAGTCCTCACTGATACAGTGGGCTAGAGAGTCTGTTTTGGGGCATGCAAAAAGGTCTCCTTTCACATAAGTGATCTAAAATGTGCAAAGGGAAAAAATGTTTCATTAGATACACAAAAATACTAAGCTATTTGTTTTCCTTTACTGTGCCCACCACCCCTCCCCACCTTCTTGATTAAAAGTCAAATCCTCAGAATTTTTAGGAATTAGCCGCAACGAATTAAAACATATGTAAGAGGAAAGTGATGGCTGGCCTCTGCCTAGGTTGTATTAGCCTTTCTGAAATAAAACAGCTAGAGAGAGAGAGAGAGAGAGAGAGAGAGAGAGAGAAGACAATTCAACTAAAAGTGTTTATGCTTTTGACCTCAATTATTCGAATTTCAGTTCACCATAAGGTAATAGTTATTACGCACTCTGCTTCCTTCTGCATCTTCACTAGGGCTGCCGGCCATGATACCGAGTTGCTATCTCCAGAACTTATATGTTTCTCCAGCTATGAGAAGGGAAAGGGAAGGAAACATGCTTAGGCAGCCTGAACATATTATATTCAGATCGCCCTGACCACCCACTCCTCATTGCTCCCCAACGTTGATCACTGAATGTGACTTCGCAATACAAAACTCTCCTGCAGCGGGGGGGAGGAAAGCTGCCTTCGGTCCGGAGGCGCCGGACCCCGCTCGCATTTCGCGCTTTCCCGGAGCGCCCGCTCCGCCCGCGAAGAAAAGGCGGCCCCAAGCCGCGCCTCCTCCTCTCCCCGCGCCCGGCGGGCGGAGGACAGTCCTTACACTCGGTGGGTTTGGCCTAGAAGAAAAAAGGAGGGACTTCGGGCCGCAACCAGGTGTACGGGCCAGGGGGTGTGTACAGCCCCGCGCGGGAAGGAGGGCAGGTGGCCTCTCAAGGTTTACTCCTCTGTTTGGGGGTGTCGGGGGAAGGAGTCTGGAGCAGCCTCCCACTCTCTGTCTCCTACCCTCAGGCGGGTCAGCGAGGGTGTACTGCGTGTCCTGGGGTCCCGTGGGAAGGAGGGAGGAGGCTCGCTCTAAGCCCCAACGTACCGGGGTTACCCTTCGCCTGAAGTCGGTCGTTACGAGGTCCCGCCCCACGGGGAAGGCCTCCAGACCCGGCCCTGGTAGGTTGGGAGCAGCCGACGAGCCCAGATGCGGAACCAATCCTGCCACAGCACTTCAGAGTACGCACCTAAGATGGCCGCCCACCACCCGGGAGCGACGCGGAAACGAGCCCCTCTAGCTAGCTACCAGCACCACCACTCTTTGGTGATGGCCGCCGAACTTCCGGCGGTAAATAACGTGAAGTCTCCCGCCGCCACCCGGGCATGCGTAACGAGACAGCCACCACGAGAGAGAAGGAACAGCGCTTGCGCATTAGCCCAGGGGTGTGCCTCCAGGGGCCGCATAGAAGAGGGTGGGAAGTTGGCAAAGGAGCTAGTTAGCGCCTGCGTAGTAATATGTTCAGGGCAGTGTATGAGTCCAAGGGACTGGCGCGTCTAGAAGGCGCCTGCGTCTTTTTTCCGTCGGGAGTGGTATCTGATCAGGGAAGTGGGCGTGGTTTTCAGGGACGCCTGCGCAGTGCTCCTTCAACTAGGTGTGGGGCGAGCCCAGAGAGGGAGAATTGGGAGGCGTGGTCTCAGAGGCGCCTGCGCGGAGGCAGTTGGAGGGAGGCCCGATTCCCCTTTGTTCGGGTTCGCCATTTTGCGAGGCAGCGGCAGTGGCGGCGGCAGCGGCGGCTGGAGCCTCTGATTGGGTTTCGGAGTCCGGTAGTGGAGCCAATCAGCGCGGGCAGCGAACCGGGGGAGCGAGGCACGGTGAGTGTGAGGAGCCAATATCCAGCGGCCCAGAGCCGGCCCCAGCGCCCCGATTGGCGGGTCTCGCTGACCACTCAGGAGAGGCCCAGGCTCCCGTCGAGCCCGGGGAGTCGAGCTGAGCTTAGCCGAGCGGGGCGGTTGGCGGCCCCGGTCTAGAGACTGCGAGCGCCGCGGGGCACTGCCGGCCGAGGCCTGCAGGGGGCTGACCCGCGCGGGGATGGCGCCCCCTGGGGCAGGCGTCTCGGGGTCCCGACCCTTGCAGGGTGCCGGTGCCAGTTGGGGATGCCTCCTGGTTCCCCCGACCCTTAGCCCAGGGTTCTCAGGCTCCGGGCTGGGGAGTGGCGGGCTTGCCTGCCACGAACGTCCCTACGCTCAGGTACACACATGCGCCCGCCTCGGTGGTTTCCTTCTGGTCGTCCCGGCCTCACACCTCAGCCTGCACTCTCCACGCTCGGGCCCGGGGCAGGAAATCTGCCCCTGCGGGGCCTGCGTCCCCCAGGCCTCCGTGCGCCGGCAGGAGGCTTGAGGAGGACGCGCGCCGGGGCCCCGAGAGCGGCGGGGAGAGGGGCCCGCCAGTCCCCGCCTCGGCGCTCCGCGGGGCCGCCCCCGCCGTCTCCCTGGTCGGGGGCGGGGGAGCCAGTGCGCCCACTCCCCCTGCTCCGCCGGGCCCCTCCTTCCTTCGCGCTCAGCCCGGGGACCGGGCGGGCGGGCGCCGTTACCACCCCCTTTTGGCTCGTCATTTCCTCTCTTCCCCGCCCCGCTCGCCGGGGCAGAACCGCACACCTCAGTCTCGGAGCCCAACCAAGCGGTCTCCCCTTCCCGCCCGGCGCTAAGGCCAGTCCACTCTTCGAAGATTGCCAGCCCTTCGCATTCCCTTTCCCCGAGGCTGCGCACCGTGCCTTTCATACTTTCTAGCCATTGCTCATCTCGTGAACTGCCTCCCTTGACGATACAGGTCGTTCTCACCTTTCTGTGTCACTCTGAACAGGTCAGACTTGACTTAGCTCAGTCCATAGCTAGCTCTTAGTTTATTTTTTTCTGATACACTTTCCAATTCCGTATTAACGTTTTGGCAGCAGATATTTTGGGTTTGTGGACAAAAAGGGGCCACATGCTAACCCGACAGGCTCATGGAAGGGCCTGCCTGGCGCCCTTTCAAACTCAGAGACTGAAAATAACCACAAAGGATGGTCTGAAATTAAAACTTTAACTAAAAGTTTATGGCAGGTAGTCCTGTCCTAGTCTAGAATCCTCTCTGACAAACGTCAATCTTTTCCTTAACTAACCTCATCTGCTGTCTTCTGCATTTACAATAACATTCCTTTGGAATGTCAGGGTAACTCCCCTTTTTCCAGACCCCCTCAGGGCACAACCTGTGCACCTGGGTGAAGACCATAAATCCTCTCATTGTATTGTTACCATGTTAATTGTTGACTGTTAACCTGCCTGTACCTCCTAGGTAGAAAGATGTGTGTCTATCTTTTTACTTTTCATCCAGTTCCAGAGGTTTCCCCACTTTGCTTTCTCCCACCTCCCTAATCTATCACCAGTGGATTTCATGTAGCCCATTCTCATCTTCTCTAAGTGCAAAACTTCCATTCTCTGGAGCATTATCTCAATTCGTTGAGGTTTCGCTTCCTGGCAATTGTCAACATTTTGGCTCAAATAAACTCACAAAAATTCTCAATAAGGTTTGAATGTTTCTTAGGTTGACCAGGTTTTAGTTAGGGTGAGAAGAAGTCTCCATTGACAACCAAGTATGGAGCAGGTACCAGGCATCCATCTATTTGATGGGGGAAGGGTGGGTACGTGTAAATGAGAATCTTCCCTGCCTGGTGGAGATGGACAGGTGAATGACTAATGCATACCTAACAGGGTGATGAAGGAGCCAAGTTCACTTTTGTGAAGTACAGTACTGACGTGTGAGCTTACCAACAGCCTCATGGAAGGCTTGACATAGCCACACTTTTGCTTGGCCTCATCGATGGTAGGATTTTTCTGACAGGAGAGAAGAGTATTGCTCGCAGAAAGAAGGGTATGGGCAGAGGCCCCAGTGGTGCTGTGTGAAAGAGGGAAGGTAGGATAGGGCAGTGGGCAGGAGTGGTGAGAGTTGAGGCTGGACAGCCCAGTTGATAAAAGCACTTGTACATCTTGACAAATAATATTTTCTAAGACTGGAGAAACAGATTTCTACTTGTGGGGTTCTGACCCATAACAGTGGTTTCTTTTGGGGAAGAAAGGGAGATTTCCCTAGGACTTGAAAAGTTTTTACTTATGTGAGGCACCTAGTGCAATCCCTAGCACACAGAGTAGGTCTTCAGTATATTGTGCCTGTTTTTCCTAATCACACTAAGGTCATACAACTGGTAGGTTTCAGAGAACTCCTAATTCAGTCAGTGCTCTTTAGTTCTTATTATCCACACTGATAGGTGAGGTAGTGTGTCTTAGATGTTTTTTAAAACATATAATCTGGTCACTAAAACCACCAAATACTTGTTAGACTTTCTAAAAGACAGTTATAGTCTGGTTACTTTTTTTTTTTTTTCTGCTCAACACCTGCAGCTTCCGCCTGTCTGTAGAAGAACTTCTCTGCTTGGAATTTTGAAAGACTGTAGTCTGTCCCCTATCTTTCACTTGACATATGGGGCCTTTTAGTCCGCTGTTCATATGCTGAAATTTTTTGCCCTTGTTACTGTGCTGGCTCTTCGTTTCCAGTACTCCACCAACTCCCACATCATCACATAAATCTTTCTTGCCAGGTCAGGTGTCACGTTTTCCTAGTCTTCCTTGATTTATCTATCCTCACTGGAAGATATCTCTGTTCTCCAGATTCCCTTATTACTTTGTTTCTCTTAGGTTCCAGTACATATTTTTACTCCTTTACTAAACGTAAAGACTCTTTGAAGTTAGGATCTTTGTCAGAGTTTTCTTTTTATGAAACCTTTAGGACAGTGAGACATGGTACATCATTAGTGGAGAAAAGGAGCAAATTAGGAACTCTAATCCAGAAACCTCTTGGACAATGAGAAAGCTGGACAGCTCTTAGTTTTAGTCTTTTTTTCAAAAATCAGGACCCATTTGTTGAGTTGTAAAATCAATTTAGTGGGCTAATGCTGGTGATTTCTTATGATAAAATAGATTAAGTGGATACCTTATGTTATAAAAAATAAATATTCATGAAACTTTCATTTCAGTTACTTTTTTAATGTTATGCGTGTAGTGATTTGGGATATGAAGTGTATTTCTTACTGTGAATTGTGGTCATAGAAGTTTGAAAACTACTATTCTAGACTTACCTGGAAGTGATTGTCAAATATGGTAATTGTGAGAGCTTTACTGTGCTCGTAATTGACTTTCTGGAAGTTTAAGCTTTCAAATGTGTATGGGTCCACACAGAATAGACTCCTAGTAATTAGCTCCGTTTCTGGTCCTGTGCCTTGAAGTGGGAAGAAGAGAATTTTCATGCTAGCCAAAATAAACACTCTCTTTGAGGAAAAACATTCAAAACCTTGGGTTTAGAAACAAGAGCTAGACAGACTAAATAAGGCTGGCTTAATTTTGTCAGAATCTCGGTCAGAGGGAAGACAATGTCAAGTGTTATTGCAGTTTTGCTAACTGAAGCTCCCAGTAGTAGGGACATAGGGCTTCACTGAAGCCAGTTTGTTTCAGCGTTCACCATTAGCAATCTCAACATCATGCTCCAGACTGAATCACCTTCACGTTAAGGTGAGAGGGAATTGCTATTAGATTAGAAGCTTTCTCTTTAACCCTTCAAAGTATAGTGGATTTAAATGTTTTTAATTTGGAGCAGTTCTGTTATGGGATAAATTAGTTAAGAAAATCTGCATGATCTATTTATTAGTAATTCATATGTTATTTGAGTAAATTTCTGAAAATTAGTGGTCAAGAAAAGAATCTCATATAGTAAGGGGATTTGGGGTGGGGGAGGTATTGAAATGTAGAGGACATTCCTTCATGATACTTATTTTTTAAATCATCTTTATTAACTTCATTGAAATATAGTTTAGATACAAAGGGTCATTATTTTAAAGTTTACGTTTTGATGAATTTTGGCAAATATACACCTGTGGAACTGTCGCCACAATGAAGATATAAAACATTTTCATCCAGAAAGGTCCAGGTGCTCTATCCCAATCAATCTCCTCCTTTCCCCCGCTGCCCCTTCTTCTCCAGTCCCAGAGAACCACTGGTCTGCTTTCTGTCTCTAGATTGCTGTTGTCCTTCCAGGATTTTATATAAATGAAATCACATATACTCTTGTGTCATGACCCTTAATTATTTAGTCGTATATATGTATTATGAGTCCTGCAGTAATTGGTAAGATAGAGTTTAGAGAAGATTGTTTACTGGCAGAGTCACTTGGTCTGGTTGAAAACCTGATTTTCTCTACTGTTCCCAGTGTCTACTTGGAGCTGACTCAGTCACCCAATTCAGAAGAGACTGATGTAAAGATCAGAGAGCCATTTTGTCAGTGCGTACTGAGAAAATAGCTATCCAATTTACATGTGTTGCTGATCGTATATGCTCCTTATAGGCTAATGTATATGTAAATCTAATTAAAACTAGATATTTAGTGAATGTTTCATTAGAGCAAGGGCAGTGAGTTGGAAAACTGTGTGACCAGATGCATGGTGCTGTGGTGATAGTCATCCTGTCACTATTTATGACTCTTACATACTATATACCGTTTTGCTTATGAATGATAAGCTTCGTTAATTTTTAGACTTTTAAAAAATTTTCAACATCAATACACTTCCTCCTAAATACTTGGGCAAGCACTTGAATATATTTTGATTTCTTTCACATAATGTTGAGACACCTTACAAGTGATTAATCTCATCCACTACATGTAGATTTATGGAGAGTGGTCCCTTGCTTTGTTGCGATGATGTGCAGCTTAGTTAGCTCACATAATGTTGTCATTCAAATTTTAGGGTTTATGAAGGCCTCGAAAAAAATTGAGGGAAAAAATTTATCTGCGTTTTGTTTATATACCTGTGCCTCCCCAATATTTACAAGGAAAATTACCCTTCAGTATTTGAATCAAGTCTTTATTTGAGGGTCTCAAATATCACTTCAGTTTACCAAATTGTGTCTTTATTTCAAAAAGGAGTCTTCAACTGTTAAAGTGTGTGAGAATGGTAAATTTGAACATTGACTAGCTATTTGATAATATTAAGGACTTACTTCATTGTGATAAAATAATAAAGACAAAAGAGTCTTTCTCTTTAGAGATAGATGCTTAAGTATTTGTGAATTTGGGGGATAACATGCTGTCAGGGATTTGCTTAAAAATAACCCAGGGGTGGGTAGAAAGTGCTTGATATATATGTGAACAAGATTGACCGTGGGTTGAGAATTGTTGAAGTTGGATATAAGAATTCAAGAAACTGTTTATTCTCTAAAATACATGTGCAGATTTAAAAACCAGTGTTCAATAAGCCTGTAACAAAGGGATATTTTAACTCAATGAATGTTTCTGAGGTGGAAGTATTGTTCTTTTAGTATTGAAAGGTAAGATTGCCAATGAAATGAGTAAAAAACATTTTAAATTATGTGAAATTATTATATTGTTGACATGGTTGTGCCATGTAATCCTAGTTAAAAATGATAATATATATAAACATTTTTCTATTTTCTCATGCTGATTTCTTACAAATAAAGCACAATGATAAATTTTAAGGTTAATCATTTGGCAAAGCCTTATTGACAATCCATACTCTTGGTTTTTTCCCAACATTTCTAATAGGAGTGCATCTCGCAGTCTTCTAGTGAAACTCACTGTGTGCAGGATTCTAACTTGGAGGGACCATGGAGCAGTATACAGCAAACAGCAATAGTTCGACAGAGCAGATTGTTGTACAGGCTGGACAGATTCAGCAGCAGGTATGGAAGTAAAACTGCTTTAAACATCACAGCACTGGAGCTGATAACAGCATTACTCAATTAGGGAATTATTTGAGAGGTACCAGATCTTATAAATAACGGGTATGATGACTTTATGGGTCTGAAGTGCTTTTTGAAGATTGAATTTGTTATGATTTCTCTCTTGTTTTCTGTGTTCAGAACTCTATGTTCAGTCCATAACCACTGAGAATTTGCTCTTAGTGGGAGCCTGGTTTAATACGGAATTGCCCCTTTTATCTTATTAAAAGTCAAAACACCTAGTCTGTTTTCAGATGAGAATTTAGAGTTTTGGGTTTTTTTCTGGGTTCATTTTGGTTATTTCTCTTCTTGACTAAGGTAGTGCATGTTCTAATAAGATTCTGGCCAAAATGCACAAACCAAGATAGTCATTGTCCAAGAAATCCACTGTCTTTGATTGGATCCTCCACAGTGCTTATTCTGAAAAGTTCTAGTTTACCATGAGGATAATATTTAGACTGTCATTCTTCTGGATAAACACATATTGGAAAGGAATTCCCTGCTACTGGTTTATTTCTTATTAAATGGATTGCTTTCTTGAATTTATACACAGCTTATATTTTCTGATTCTTTATCCCTGGTTATATTTTAGTGAAACTTCACTTGTTTTTCTCCCTAGAGAAAATAAATTATATGTATCAATCTAACCTTAGGCCAGGATTGGCAATATTTTGTTTCCAAAATGGAACTTAGATAATACAGAAAAGTAGCTAGTAGGGAAGGCAGAGGAAATTTTGATGGTGAGTTCTCCTATCTAATGAGCAAGGGAGGGAGCTGGAGTAATTATTTAAACCCCTTACTCATCTTTCCTTCCATGCAGCTGCTGTGGCTCTGGCAGCTTCTTTCAGCTGCCTTCTTTGTAACGGGGATTCCACAAAGGGCCCTCCATTCACACCAAGGCCCTGGTGGGTGAATTTTTGTTCTGTCCGAACTTACCATTACAGAACATAAAAATTAGGTTGAAACTGCTTCTAAGGTAGTCCAGTTGAGTAGAAGTAATCCTAGTTTGGGGACCTGGGAGCAGTGACCTCATGAAAATGATTTTGGTTCACAGTGATTGCTTTGTTCTTCCTTCCTGGTGATTGCATTTAAGCCCCAGAAATTCTTCGTTGTAGCTTCAATGCTATTAAAACCTTTGTTCTTGTGAACTCATTGAGGAAATAAAAAGAGCATTAAAATAACTTTGTAGGTAAAAGGACCAGATGCCTATCTTTGGAGGGAAGGACTGCGTTAAAATATTTGTGTTAAAGATGACAACTATTGACATTTTTGAGTTGTGGAAGTGTGTTTTGAGTTCCACTCTGGGGAAAATGGGCTAATATCTTCAGTTGGACTACCTTCAACCAAATAGCTACAGGATAGGGATTCTGTAGAGTTTGAAAGTCCTGTGTAGGGTAGGGTTGTTGAAAGACAACTCCCTCCCTGTCCTTTAAGAGGTAAGGTGATCTCATGTCTTGAACCATACATTTCCTTCCTGACACATTTCAAGCTCTTCCTGTTCCTGTTCTCAGCAGCAGGGTGGTGTCACTGCTGTCCAGTTGCAGACTGAGGCCCAGGTGGCATCCGCCTCAGGCCAGCAAGTCCAGACCCTCCAGGTAGTGGTGCCCTCTCTGATTCTCTGTAAGCACTGCATGAACTTCTCCTTTCCTCATGTCTGGTGCTGTTTGTGGTAGGATCGCAAGGAGGAATGGCAAAGTCAGTTGCATGTCTTTGATGCTAACTTGTCTTTGAGGCTTATACCATGCTGATTTTCTAATGTCTCACACGAAGTCATGTAGTGACTCCAGTGTGAATTTTCTGAAAACGGAATTTGGCTAGTGTGTTTCTTTAGGAATGCCTTGGAAAGAACTGTTGCAAGGGACAGGAGGAAATTCTTACAAGTGACATTAGACCCTCTTTAGAGCTCAGACTCTGTATCAGATTGCAGGGTAAAATTTTATTATAATAGTAGAGAAGGAAATATATGCACATTACCTAGTCTAAGGGCTATTTAGGTGCAAAATAATCATTGTACTTGGCAAGTTTTATCTAATCACTAAATCTCGTTAATCTCTTAACTTCTGTCTCTTTACTATTTCCTGGGGAAATAGTGACCTGTCTTTTTACTAGGTCTGCAAAGATTATCCCATACCTCTAGGTTGGACTTACGTGGGATATGCTTTCTATAGGTTTGAGAATTTTTACTTAACCGTTTCAGTTTGTTAACATTATGTTGGCCAAGTGAAATACCCTAAATTGGGGTGATATTTTGGCCAGCTCCTATATAAAATTAAGAGTAGGAGCATTAATCTATTTTCTGTCTATGTGTTACTTTGACTAAAATTACTGTATATTTGAGAAACTGGCAAGATTTTGGTGCCCTTTTTCCCTCCATTAAATGGAAATGGTTCAGAGAAGGACCTAGAATGTAGAATCGGCATCTCGCTTTATTACTGATGCTGCTAAACACCCTGCAGTTAACTACCCCTTATTGTAATCAAAGGTCCTACTGTGGCCCCACCACCACACCTGCCACCCATAGTGTTTGATGATGATATACAGCCAATTCTAACTATAAATTAGGCTGAAAGAACCTGAACTTGTAGGTTCTCCCAAACGGTAAATCTCAGAGTTCAACAGATTGTAATTCATGTTTTTCATGCTTGCTTCATCTTATTGATGTGTAAAATAATATTGTCATTAACCACTTGTGGAATGAGAATGTAACATGCTCTTAACTGTATGGCTTTTTGTCTGATGCATGTGTCCTTGTAATCATTCATATGTTGTAAATACAGTGGGCTCCTTGGAGTCTCAAACGATTTATTATGTACACTTACAGCATGTCAATGAGGGGAGAAGTTAAGATGATGGAAAGCCAGAAAATTATTAATAGTTATACCTTAAAACTTATATTCCCTACCTATGTATACTTTATTTTAAAAGAAATATACTTTATTGACATAATGGAATTTAAATAGTTATTTCTGTTATTTATGCAATAAATATTCTGGGGGAAAAAGGTATTTCCTGATAGAACATATGCAGACATTGATGTGACAAAGGGGATATGATTTGGGATGGGGAAATAAGAGAAGGAGAAAGTGTGAAAATCAGATTGCAAAGTTCTTAATATTAAAGTGGAATTTCTCGATGAATGGTTTAACAAAAGCTAGGATTTTAAATATTTCTAAAGATTCTAGTAGACTTGAGGAGGTGCTTAATATCTAATTTACTCCTCTAGGACTGATTGTTCTTTCCATTAATTTTATTTGAACATTTTTTCACTGGCAATAAGAATGAGTATTTTAGTCATGCAAATTTTCTTTTGTAATGTTACAAGCAATTCCTCAAAACAAAGATAGAGTCTGAAAATGAAAATATTTTACTTTAGTTATTCTGTTGAACATTCACTCCATTTCACTTTTCAAATAGCCTGTTTTTTGGCTTCTAGAAAGCATTCTTTTAGGCATTTTTATATAAGGACTCAAGATATTACATAGAGCATTTACCATGCTCTGGCTTCTAGAGTATTCTGTTTATTCATTGGAACTTCAAAGTTGTAACATTTTTTATATACTTTAGTACTCTGTGTAATATCCATATTTCTGTTAAAGTTAAAATAACTGTAGGTATTGCAGGGTTCGTTGTGAGGAATGCCACCACAGATACTGCAAACTGACCAGGAAATATTTCTAGGCAGTTTTTACTAGTGGGCTCTTTAAACAACCATCAGACTAGAATTCCCGGAGTATAAGGTAAAAGATGGAGGCCAAAGATGTACATTTAATTTATGCTAGAGAAACTGGGGGGAGGAAGGGCCTTCTACATAAGATTTCAGAGCAGCTTGCTACCCAGCCTCCTGGAGTCATTCCTGGGTACAGTTTGATTTACTTCTTCCAGGTTATTTAGAATTTCTACTTAACCATCACCACAACCATCAACTATCCCTCTCATTGCCTCCTCTTCAGCCCTTACTAGAGATCATTCCTGGATATTAGTCTAAAAAGCAAATAGTCTTGACATTTTGCTTAAATGCTTCTCATGAATTTGGCCCGTGTTTAGTAATAAACGCCTTATACCTACTGAGACTTCCCAAAGACTGGATATACTCCAATATCTGACTTTAAAGTATTCAACTTGGCCTTTAGTCAGAGATACCATAGAACTTGAGATGAGGACTTGAGACTTACTGTCTTAGGGTTTCTCCTGCCTTTTTCCCCTCTAGCAAGGCAGCAAAATAGTTCCAGTGATTTTCTTTCAGTAAAAACCATTTTGTGTCTTACGTTATTTCATTGTGCTTATTTTATTTCATTCTAGGTCCAGGGGCAGCCATTAATGGTGCAGGTCAGTGGAGGCCAGTTAATTACATCAACTGGCCAACCCATCATGGTCCAGGCTGTCCCTGGTGGACAAGGTCAAACCATCATGCAAGTACCTGTATCTGGGACACAGGGTTTGCAGCAGGTGAGTGGTATGAAAAAAATGTTTAGAATATCAGAATAGAAGTTTTTAAAGAATAATTTATTACAAATTATTTGACTGTTGATATTGTTGCTTCCTAATCCTCTATTTGCATTTAGTCAATAGTCTACCTTTGTAGTACCAGTGATAAAGCAGAACTCTGGTAAGGACTAATTAGGCATGATTTTTTAATCAGTGTAAAGACTATGAAGAAGCGGGAATCTAATAAAAGCAGTTTATGTCGTGACGTTTGTGACCATATCTAGTCAGTGAAAAGGGGAGGAAATTTATAATCTGCTTTGGTGATTTTGTTTTTGCTCAGAAGTGTTATCCTTTTCATTTCTTTTCATGTAATTAATAATTTTAGTTCCCTAGCAAGTGATGAAAAAGAAAATATTTCGGTTCACACCCATCACACACACCTAATGCCCTACTTGTAGCAAAATTTATAACCTTATATATTTTTATTTTTAATTGAAAATAAATGAATGGTATTTCTTGTTAGGAAAAGAAAATGAGCAAAAAGTAGGTTAAAATTACTGAAGTAGGAAACTAACAAAAATGTAGAAAGGGTAAATAAAAGCTGAATCTTTAAACAGATCAATAAATTCACTCAAAAGACTGATTCCACACCAGAAAATAAAGGTAAAAAAAAAAGACAAAAATGTAGAAGAGATTAAAGAAATAAGTAGGAATGTTACATGTTTAAAGTAGAGAGATTTTTTATCAATTTGGCAAAAATTAAAACAATAATTATATCCAGTTTTACAATGGGTGTGGAAAAAAAGAAATACTCGTTATTTTAGGTGATTTCAAATTCTCAAGTAATTTTGGAAAGGCATCTCAGGCTTAAATACGTAAACCTATTTCACTTCTGAGAATCCCATAGGAAGAAAAGCGTCAGTATGTAGGGAGAAATGTACAGAGACATTTATTGCAGCATTGTACTACCATAGAAACTTTTGGTAACCTGAATGTCTATTAGTAAGGAAGTGGTTGAATAAGTCATACTATATTCATATGTGAAATAGTATGGTGGTGAAAAGGATGAACTCTTGATTTGGGGTGGTGGTTAAATTGAAGTACTTTTAGTGGAAAAATAATTTGCAGAGAAACATATGTTGTGTGATACCATCTTTGTAATAAATAGCCAAATCCCTATGTGTATATGTGTTATAAGTTGAAAAAAGTCAACTGTGATCACACTGCTTGATAAATCAGACTCTTAATTTTTCCACATTCTTTTATAGTTTTTATTCATACTTTTTTTTTTCCAAACTTTTTTCTCTATGAAAAACTTCAGACAGATATGCAAGTAGACAAATAATACAATCAACTTGCATACATCCATCATCCACCTTTAACAATTACAAAGTATGTATAGGCAAGGCTTTAATAATGCTCACATGTGGAAACTGAATATGTCCCTTGAATATTTTTAATTTAAATTTCTGCTCCAATCTTTCTTTTTCCTTGCAGTGTGTTTATGCATACAATTTGAGCACAGTTATACCATGCATGTAGTTGTGGGTTTGATTTTTCTTTTTAAAAATTTAAATGTATTTCTACTTGATTTGTTTTAAAAATTTTTAATTCCTTCATAATAATGGTCAATCAATTTGAAGAATCAGAATTTACAAAGTGTTTTTAGGTGTTTTCTTTTTGCTTTTATAGGTAAGGTTATTGTAAATTTATTTGAGCATGATAGTTTTATTTCACTTGAATTAATTCTTAGGGTAGTTTCTTCGGCGTGGTAGGGATTGCTTGGTAAGGAGGAGGAGGAGCATTTTTTAGACTGTTGGCGTATTTTTGCCACAGTAGAGTTATAGTTAGGGTTAAAAATAGTTTCCACATTTCTCCATGAATAAATGCATGAGGCTTTAAATGTATTTTCAGAGTGTACTTTACTGTATTTCACACTGCCGTTCCATTTCTGTCCTCCTTGCCACCTCTTCGTCATTCCTTGTCACACTAGCCTTTCTCCTTTTGAATAGAGTCGGTGTGATCCAGTGCTAGGAACAGTGTGTTGGGGGTGCAGTGACCTGACTTTTCATTCCCAGGTCTGCCATCAAACAGCTTTCAGGTCTTGGCCAAGTCATCTGATTGTCAGGTTTCTCATCTGAAAAATGAAGTTTATATCAGGTGATTTCTAGGGTTCATTCCAGCTCTAAATTCTATTTACTTATTTACCTTTAAGAGTCTTTGACAGGGTTATTTATTTTATTCTCCTCCCTTCAAGCAGGAATGTATGTAACTAATCAAACCATCCTAGAAAAATTATTTCCTGTTAACATGTTAAGGCTCTAGATAAGATTCCATAGCCTTTCTTAGAATGCTTAAGATTTTAATTATTTTTATAAGAATTGTTTTGTTTTTTGTTATTTTAAACTTTATTTTATTTATTTTTTTGTACGTGCCCCTAGCGGGAACAGAACCCAAGACTCTCTGGTCCGCGGGCTAACGCTCTAACCACTGAGCCAAACCAGCCAGGGCAAGAATTATTTTTTAATAACCATTTATTTTAGAAGAGTACTTCTTAATCTTTATTATAATGCATCCTCTAATTTAAAATTCCAGTGAGATATCCTGTGTCGTCCTCTTAGAAAAAGTGCAGATGTCCAGATGCATGGCATACAATTTTATGTTAGACCCCTTGCTTGAGCCCTGGCCGGTTTGGCTCAGCAGTTAGAGCGTCAGCCCTTGGACCAAAGAGTTGTGGGTTCATTTGCACTCAAGGACATACATGTACCTCTGTTTCGGTTTGGTCCCCAGCCCTGGTCAGGGTCATGTGGGAGGCAAGCAGTCAATGTGTCTCTCTCACGTTGATGTTTCTCTTTCTCTCTCACCCCCTCTCCCTCTCTTCCTCCTTCCCACTCTATCTGAAGATAAATACAAAAATATTCTCAGGTGAGGATTTAAGGAAAAAAAGATTCCTGGCCTGATATAGACAATGGAACTGGCCTGGGAAGCCAATAAATGTATTCAAGAATATTGAAAGTTGGTATATAGCAAAAATAGGATAGAATATCAGTGAAAAAATGGTTTAAGAATTATATGGATGTACAACACAAAGGACCTAGAGGGTGTTATGCTAAGTGAAGTAAGTCAGATATAAGGACAAATATATAATTTCACTTATATGTAGAATCTAAAAAACAAACACTCATAGATACAGAGAATAATTGATGGTTGTTAGAAGAGTGCAGCAGAGAGAAGGATGAAAAGGTGAAGGGGATTGAGAGGTATAAACTTCTAGTTATAAAATAAGTCATGGGGATATAATGTATGGCATAGGAAATACAGTCAATAATATCGTGATAACTTAATAGTGACATATGGTTACTAGACTGACTTACGACAATACTTGTTAGAGTAAAGATCTAAATGTAAGAAAGCATACTGGGAAACTAGATTCTCTTTACAGGAAGATTTTCTTTATGCAACAGGGTAGAGAAGGATTTCTTAAAGACTTTAACTTTTTTTTAGAGAGAGAGAGAGATAGAAACCAGTGCGAGAGGGAACATCGATTGGCTGCCTCCTGCACACCCCCTTCTGGGGACTGAGCCCGCATCCCAGGCATGTGCCCTAACCAGAAATCGAGCCCAGACCTCTCAGTCCACAGGATGACGCTCAGTCCACTGAGCCACACCAGCAGGGCTTAAAGACACTTTTAAAAATTCAATTTGACTACAGTAGTCCCCCACCTTGTCCATGAGGGATATGTTCCAAGACCCCTGATGGATGTCATAATTTGTGCATAGTACAAAACCCAAGTGTTAACAGTAATGGATGAATAAATTAATATAATTATCTAGTGTGATACTTTACACCAAATAAAACAAATGAACTAGTTCTATTTCAACTGGCTATATCTTGAAAACAGTGTTGACTGAAAAAAGCAAATTGTAAAATTTGGTGCCATTTATATGAAATACATGAACTTAAAGGCCAGCACCGTATATTTTTATGGATATACATGTATAAAATAAGCTCTGTAAGGAGTGTTACCAGTTTTAGTATAGTGACTGTCTTTTAGTTGGGAAGTGAATGTTAAATGAGGCAAATATGGCAGAATATTAACCTGTTAAATCTGGTGACTGCAGGGGTGTCTGATATGCTAGTCTCAATTTTTCTGCATCTTTTAAGATTCTATAGATACATTTTTATATAATCTCAGCTCAGAGTTGGAAAAATTGGAAATAACTTATTTTTTCTACCATATTATAGAAAACTTTAAATACAGACAAAAAAGAGAGTGCTATGAGAAATCATCACACCCATCTTCAACAGTTATCAACAAAGAATCAATTTCTCTAGTTTCATCTGTATTTACCTATTCTCTCAAGTATTTTGACTATATAAATATTTCATCTGTAAAAATACTTGAGTATATATTTAAATAAGTGTGCTTTTTAAAAATGATGTGACAATGCCAGCACTATCATCCTCTAAAAACTAACGTTGATTATTTAATATCCAGTATCCAGACAGTAGTCAGAATTTTCTGTTTGTTTTATAAGTGGAAAACAACTTATCTCTTATAAATAATAGCAGAACAAGACTTCTGGTTTTTTTCCTCTTCACGGCATTTTCTGCTTTGTAGAGGAATTGGGGTCACTGATGTTCCAGGACAAAAGAGACCAGTGTCAGGTACTAACCTTTCTGTGTGTCTTCCACAGATACAGTTGGTCCCACCTGGGCAGATCCAGATCCAGGGTGGGCAGGCTGTGCAGGTGCAGGGCCAGCAGGGCCAAACCCAGCAGATCATCATCCAGCAGCCCCAGACAGCTGTCACCGCTGGCCAGACCCAGGTAATTCCACAGGAGCACAGGAGCATAGCTGTTTAGGAAGGGTCAGACAGCTGAGCCAAGAAGTTCACGTATGGTAGAAGTGGGGGAGAAAACCATCAAAAATACTTCTTAAGAAAAAGACTAGCCCTGGCTCAGTTGGTTGAGCATTGTCTCATACACCAATAGGTTGTGGGTTCGATTTTCCCATTTGGGTGTGGGTACGGGAGGCACCAGGATGTTTCTCTCATGTCAGTGTTTCTCCTCTCTCTCTCTCAAATCAATAAAGACATATCCCTGAGTGAGCATTTTTTAAAAAGTAAGGAAAAGACTACATGGTGCTTTCCTTTGTGATGTTTTAGATTCTGTTAAATTGTGTCGTGATTTATTTCCTTACAGACGCAGCAGCAGATTGCTGTCCAGGGGCAGCAAGTGGCACAGACTGCTGAAGGGCAGACCATCGTTTATCAGCCAGTTAATGCAGATGGCACCATTCTCCAGCAAGGTAAGTGTGTCCATTCATTTCTGTCTACTTTTGGGGGCTTTTTTTTTTTTTTTTTTTTAATTTTCACCAGAGGCTATTTTTTTAATTGATTTTTAGAGACAGTGGGAGGGAGGGAGGGAATGACACACACACCAATTGGTTGGCTTCCGCACTTGTCATAACTGGGGCCGGAGATCGAACCTGCAACCCAGGTTTGTACCCTTGATTGGGAATCAGACTCACAATCCTTTGGTTCAAGGGACAACAGTCTAACCACTGAACCATACCAGTCAGGCTACATGACATCTTCTTGAACAAAAATTAGATTTTCTCTAAGTTTCCATTGATTATGTTTCCTTGTCACCAATACATGGCTAGCATTGATTCGATTTACAGTGGTTGTTAAAAGACTAGGCCTAATGAGGATGTAAAGTACAGCATAGGGAATATATATTCAGTAATATTCTAATAACTATGTGTGGTGTCAGATGGGTGCAAGATTCATCGGGATGATCACTTAGAAAGTTAGGTAAAGTCTAATCATATGAGTATACACCTGAAACTAATATAACAATCTATGTCAACTGTAATTGAAAAATAAAAATAGTATGTGTTTTTTTAAAGGCTGTTCCTGGGGATTATATAAACTCTAATAAATCTTCAGTACTTTCTAAATAGATGATTGGAACTAGAAGTTTCTTTGTTGGTAGAGGAAGAACTGGATCAGAGTCAAGTTGGTATTTTGAGTATTGTTGGTGCTTAGGTATATTTTTTCAGGGCCACTTCATTCTTAATTTATTCCAAAAAGACTATATGCCTATTATGTATGTAGAACATTGCTAGAAAAGAAGAGCTTTTTTCTCAAAAAGCCTCTATTCTTATAAGTGAGGCATACATATGAACAAATAACTATAGTGCAGAGCCCTTATACAGGTATGTTCTAGGAATAGATGATGCATAAAGAAAGGAGAGATGAAAAATGGCTTTAGAGGAAAATGTAATTCAGAGAGGAGGAGTTGGCTCAAACTGAACTTACGAGCCTTTGGAAGCATTTGTCAGATAGTTAAATCTAAAAAGGACATTTCCATTAAATTCCATGCCTAAAAGTTTCACTTGTGGTTAAAACATAGTAGTATGCAAGATCCAGTTAATGCGGTAAAGTGTGCTCTTCTATGACTCAGGAGAGGGCCTGAACTGTATTGAGCACTGGCAGGAGCTCAGCCAGGCAATGGTGAACACATCCTCTTCAGGTGCTCCTGTTGATAGTTTAGGGGCTTGGAATGCTTGATACAATTTTATTTTGTTTTATCCTCACCCAAGGATATTTTTCTATTTACCTTCAGGTAGAGAGAGAGAAACATCGATGTGAGAGGGACACATCGACTGGTTGCCTCCACACGGCCTCGGCCAGGGCTGGGGCTGAACCGCAACCTAGGTACGTGCCCTTGGCTGGAATTAAACCTGGGACTCATTGGTCCACAGGCTGGCGCTCTACCTCTGAACCAAACCAGCCAGGGCTGCTTGACATAATTTTTAAGTTTATAAAATCTCTATCCTGAAGCAGATTGTTCATATGTATGAAAACTGGGTATAGCTGTAGTAAGACTGATTCATAGAAGGGGAGGCCTCCAAACTATCTCACCACTCATTGAAAACTATTATTGTAATGCCCAGGAAAGTATCCATTTCAAGGATAGATTTATTCAGAGCTAGAACCCAGAAAGTTAATAGATTTTCAAAGATTATGGTTACATGGGTTTTATATAGTAAACCAGAGAGTGGGTGAGCACTTTTTTTTCCGCCTTGTGCTGTTTAGTATGTTTTTCCAGGGTGAGTGTGTGCCAGATAGAAGAGGAACTAACCGTGTTCCCTTCTTTCTGTGTACCTGTTTTTTGTTTTATGTTTTATTTTCTTAAAGTTACAGTCCCTGTTTCAGGCATGATCACCATCCCAGCAGCCAGTTTGGCAGGAGCACAGATTGTTCAGACAGGAGCCAACACCAATACAACCAGCAGTGGACAAGGGACTGTCACTGTGACACTACCAGTGGCAGGCAATGTGGTCAATTCAGGAGGAATGGTCATGGTAAGACTATTGATTCTTCAGCTTGCTGTTCTCATCTGTGATTTCTTTTTCTACTTATCTCTTTGTTTTTTAAATATTCTTAAACTTGCAATTTGATGTTTCTCATAAAGCTTTTTTTATAATACCTCTCAGAATTGAGATTGATCCTTAATAAACATTACATAATTCTGAGGACCTACTATGTGCTAGGCACTTTTCTCAGGGCTAGAGTTATAGTGGTGGTTAAATAGATATAAATGTCTGTTTTTATGTGATCTTACTCAAAATTCAAATAATGAAGGGAGAGTTAGACTTGATCTTTTCTAGTTGGAAAATACATTGACCCTAGTGGATGAAAAAAGAAATAATCTAAATATTAAAAAGATTGTAATCAGAAAAACCAAAAAAATGTGTGATATAAATACCTTGAGAAGATAGGGAAGGAGAGTTGGGTGGTATATGTGAAAGCTAAACCCTCATATGTCAAATAGTATGTCAGTACATAGTACCTAAAATGGATAAATTAAGAATGGAGTAGCAGGGATTAAGAAACTGTTTCCTATGTCCATGCTTCATATCACTATTTAATAAACTGGTTTTCTCTTCACATAGATGGTGCCTGGAGCTGGCTCTGTGCCCGCTATCCAAAGAATCCCTCTGCCTGGGGCAGAGATGCTCGAAGAAGAGCCTCTCTATGTGAACGCCAAACAGTACCACCGCATACTGAAGAGGAGGCAAGCCCGAGCCAAGCTAGAGGCAGAAGGGAAAATTCCAAAGGAAAGAAGAGTATGTATAACGTTGGGAAGGATGTGGGAAGAGAATGCCAGAGTTCTACTTTGGGAATTAATTACCTTTTATTTGGTTTGTTTCCTTGAATATCTTTTATTTATTTATTTATTTGCATTTATCTTCAGATAGAGCGGGGGCGGGGGGAGACAGAGAGAGAAACATCGATGTGAGAGAAACACATCGACTGGTCACCGCCCACACAACCCCATCTGGGGCTGGGGACCAATTGCAACCAAGGTACATACCCTTAGTGGGAGCCAAACCCGGATTCTCTGGTCCGCAGGCCGGCCGGCCGACCCTCTAACCGCTGAGCCAAACTGGCCAGGGTTCCTTGAATATCTTTTAAATAAAACTTTTTTTTTTATCTTTACCCAAGTATATTTTTTCATTTTATCTTAGATAGTGAGAAGGGGAGGGAGGGAAAGAGAAAGGTAAACATCATTGTGAGAGAGACACATCGACTGCTTGCCTCCCACACGACCCTCGCCAGGGACGAACCGCAACCGAGGTATGTACCCTTGACTGGAATCCGAACCCGTGACTCTTGGTCCGCGGGCCAACACTAACTGCTGAGCCAAACCAGCCAGGGCAAAAGTTTTTTTTTCTTTCATAAAAGAAGTCCAGATGCAAATTGTCTTGGGCTGGTAGCACATTTCACAGTCCTCAAGACCCATTCTCCTCCTGTCTCCTTCTAATGTCCTTAGTATGCTATTTGTAGCGCGGTGGCTGCTTGGGCTCTAGCCTAGGAGCAAGTGGAACAAAAAAGGCAACTCTCTTTCAAGGAAACTTTCTGTAAGTTTTTTATAGCTCATTAGCCAAAATATAATTACATGGCCACACTTACCTGCAGATAAGGCTAGGAAATGCAGTCTGTTTACCAAGCAAGCAGCCATTTGCCGAACTAAAATTTGGTCTGTTATTAAAGCAAAGGAGAGGATATCTATATTGGAAGATAGGTAGTCATCTGCAGGTTACCTTTGGAGAGTCTTTTTCTTAATTATATTCATTTAGCGTTTGCATTCTTAGGATAGTTATATATGATTAGCTGCTATCTAGTGTTTTCTCCAAAATTCAGTCATAAGTGCCCGTGGTAGCTTTGATCACTGCTTATCTAAACTATTGCAGTTGGAATTTGTGCATTAGAAAAGTATGCTGGTTCTAGCTAGTAGATAAATGGTTTTATTTCTCTTGTTTTAGAAATATCTGCATGAATCTCGGCACCGTCACGCCATGGCACGGAAACGTGGTGAAGGTGGACGATTTTTCTCTCCAAAGGAGAAGGATAGCCCTCATATGCAGGTAAGAAGACTCTACTTTTTATTCTTCTTCTTACTTTGTATTTTCTTGGGTGGAAGGAAGCCTTTGTGTTGTCCTCTTGGTATTTTTACACTTGGGACTAACCACATTCTCCAAATTGGATGCAATATTATGTCACTTTTGCCTTAAAGTACTAGAGGTCTTTAACCCAGTGGCCTTTTTTCCCTTGATCTTTGCTAGTTATTAATATTAATTCTTGAAGTTTTCATTTTTCTTGATTTTCATAGAACAGTAGCAGCTAACACCTGACTATTATGTGCCCACCATTATGTTAGGTATTTTTATAAGCATTTTATTTTTCACTGAATCTTTACAGCAATCTAAAGCCCCATGAAGTAAGAATTACATTTCCATTTTACAGTGAATCAGAGGTTTAGACACATTAAATAGTTTGCCTAAGGTAAAATACTTATTAAATCCCACAACTGAAATTCAAACCCAGGCAGTATAATTCCAGAACTTACTCTGTAACTACTATATTTTACTGGTTCTTACATCTAATTTCACTGATATTGTATTGGCATTTCTGAGTCAATATATTTAAAATAGAATTCTTGATTTTTTTCTTTTTTTTTTAAATGCCTGAACTACTTATCTCAACAAGTGACCTGTCAATACATCCAGTTACTAGAATTGTCCAACTTTTGGTTTTACCTCTAAAATATAATCTGAATCAGTTTACTTTTTCCCCTCCCAGCTGCTGTCAGCCTAGTCTAATCCTTTCTCTTTTGGTTCAGTTAATGTAACAGCTGCCTACTGGTCCCCTTCTTCCATTCTGATCCATTATCCACATCTTAGTGTGATTTTATTTTTTTCCAGTGTATATCGTATTACATCAACATCTTGCTTGAACCCCTTTTACCCTCACCCTTTTCCATGTGCACTTAAGACTAAAATCTAAAGTGCTTATCTTGGCCAGCAAGGTCCTGTATGATCTAACTCCTGCCTGCCTCTGGCTTCATTTCCTCCCACTCCTTGGTCTTTAGGCTCTTGCTGCCCTCTTCATTGGTGACCTTTGTCTTAAAAATAATCTATCTGTAATGTTTTTCATTCCCTATCTTTTTTGCGTGGCTGTCTTCTTATCTGTTAGGTCTTGGTTTAAATCTGAGAGACTGTCCCTAGCCCACTCTATCCAGAGTAGGTCTCCTACCCCAATACTTCTCCAGATCTTTCTTTTCTTTAGAGTGTAATAATAATTGAATTTTTTATTTGTGCAATTGTGCAGTGGTTGTCTCCTTCACTAAACTATTAGGCTGTGTAAAGAGGAGAGGATTGTTTTGCTCTTAGCATAATGCCTCGTCCTAAACCAGCACTCAGTAAATGTTTTTGAATTAATGGATTCCTCCTGTTTACTGATACTTCATTCTGTATGACCGTCACATCCCACTTGTACTGTTGCCCAATCGGTCTTTGTAAGAGTGCTTTACAATCATGTCAGGCCCCTGCTCATGGATGCATGCTAGTTTCTCATTTTTACTACATCAGATCTCAAACTATTTCTATATGACATCTAAGCAACTTTTCCTCATCATGCCTCGCAACAGTCAGACTGGTATTCCTCAGTGTCCCCATACATGCTCACTAATTTCTTCTATGTTATTAATTCCTACCTGTAGTCTGAGAGCTGCTCCTTTGTCATTACTCTCTTATGCCTCTTGTAGATGTTGAGAAGCCAGCTATGGGCATTGTGCCAGGAACTCTCCTAATTCTGTGTCAATTTACTTAACTCTTTTAGCCTCAGTCTCTATACTTGTAAAGTTGAGGTGCTATTGATACTTCACAGGAATGTGTGGGAATTTAATGCAGTAAGTCACATTATTAGGCACCTATTTAGTATGGTGCATGGTGAGAGCTTCATAAATGCTGTTATTGTTCTCACTCATTGACCAAGACCAAGCTGCAGCCCTACCTACCACCTTCAGAAGTCTTTCAGCTTATCCTTGGATCATGCTGATTGACGCTTCAGAGCCTTGGTGTGGAAGAACTGAAGGCAGTTTTGTAGAGTATTGCAAAAAGCTTCCATAGATAAATCCTTGTCTTAACACTGCAGGTTGTAAGTGAAAGGCGCAGGCAGAGTTTAGTGGAAAGAAGATTAAATGGGTACCAAGAGATTTGGGAGTTGGTCCTTGCAGGTGTCCTGAGTTTTTTACTCTAGTCCAAGCAAATCAATTTACCCACCTGGGCATCAGGGTTATCTGTAACCTTTAGGTTACACTATAACCTTTTAATGAAGTGAGTTCATTAAAGTAAATAAATTTCAATGTCACTCAGCTCTGGAGTGTTCAGTAATGGAGTGCCAGGCCAGATCAGATTTGTTAATCCTTCTTAAAAGAGTGTTTCCTGTTTCCAGACAGAGCTACATTTTAACCCATGTCTGCAGACTTGCATCAGGCCTTTGGTTTACTTGGCAAAGTCGTGTCTATGCCCTTGGTGATAAAGTAGTGAGAGCCATAAGTTCCTGTTGCTTTTGCAAAGGACTTTAATCATTATTACACTTTCTTTGTCTCTAGGATCCAAACCAAGCAGATGAAGAAGCAATGACACAGATCATCCGCGTGTCCTAACCCCAGGCCATGTGATGGAGTTGATCGAGGTCATGTTCTTCGCCACTGTTCCAGGATATTGATCATTTCTTCCGATGGGACACTGATGATCAAATTCTGCCCTTTTCTACAGGACAGAAACCCACTTAGTTTTTAATAAGTGGCTCAGTATTATAATTGCAGCAGTGTCTGGCAAATTGAAGTTGCAAGGCTTTGTCTCAACTTTTGAGTCAGGACCTATTTTAGACTGTTGAAGACATTGACATTTCATGGATTAGGATGATGCAAGGGACTCCAGCCCAGCAGTACCCCACACAGCACTTAGATGTTGACTGGTGAAGCCAGCCAGCTGTCTCAGCGGGGAAGAACAACCTTCTCAAGCTAAACTGCAAGCAGGGAAGCTGCAGCCCACTCCTTCCCATGGAATCTAAACACCATCCATCCCTCTGACAAGGGATCTCAGACTAAGTGAATGGACACTTTGTATTCAGAGATGACTTCCAGGCATGGAAGTTCTGTCTCATAATATGGAATAATAAATTCTCTGAGATACATTCATCTAATCTGTGGTAATAAGAATTTCTGTCTGCCCAGATGATAGGTTGGTATTTTTGGACTCTGGCCAATAAAAAGCTATTTCTGGGGATAGAATAATAAAAGAATCAAGCACTAAAAACAGTAATTGCTGAATCATTTTTAGCCATGATCACTTGTGGTCTGCTTGTTCATCTTTTGACAGGTCAGCTGAACCATAGTTCTTACTATGGCTACTTTTAAGACAATTTAGAAGGTATTGGACCTTGAAACTTCCTTTCCTAAGTAGAGAACAAAACAATACAACAGCTGTGCTGGAGTGCTGAGGACATTTGTAGTAACTCCTAAACAGAGAGGCAAACTAGAGATTTTCAGTCATAGGCTTGATGACAGCATTTGGAAAATAGAAGGGTTTATAATGTGTTTCAGTCTAGAAGAAGAGAGAGAGTAGTATATATACCCATGTGTTGTCATATAGCATGATTCTTTTAGTGGATGGATGTCTGGGATGGATCATTAAGATGAAGAGAATCATTTACATTTACACTATAACCTTTTAACAATGGAAGGGAGAAGTCTGAGATTTGGTCCTGGACAGTTTCTGGAAAGCAGTGTTCAATAAAGCTGCCCTGGATTTTCTCCAGGTTACCTGCTAGAGCTTAAGGTAGATGTTGGCTTCACTCCTGCAGCTCTTTGTGCTGCCCCAGAAAATGTACATTGTCGTTCTACCTATGGCAGCTGACTTTTTGGTGCCAGTTTCTGTTTGCTTCCCCCCTTTCTGCATAAGTCTTGTGCAAGCAAGTTTTCATATTACATCCACATTCTGGGGACAAATTACAGATTGAAAGTAGAGATTCCTGCAGTGTAAGTTACTGGGCCACAGTTCCCAGAATGGACTGTGCCTCATTTCTTTTCTGGGTGTTGAACCCTGGTAGCAGTAAGATGATATTTCAGAAGAGTTTCTGCCACTCTGGAAACAAGGAAAGCTTAATTCTTTTGAGGAACATTTGGGTTTGACTTAGATACCAATAGTAAAGACTGACTTTTTTTTTTTTTTTTAATTTTACTCTAATTAAGAGGAAAAAAATTAACTCTAAAGAAAACATTACAAAGGGAAAGCATTGTAATAGTAGAAATAGCAACAGAACTATGCAAAGGAAGCAGGAAGTGAATTATTTTCCTAGTTCTGGAATCGAATCATCTGGCTTTTAAATGTGGGGGTGTTGATTCTTTGGTGAGCTCACTAGAAACTTCTTGCTCCTTACATGAATTTTAGATGTTAACTTTATCCAGTAATCCCCAAATTTTTCAGATGATACATTACTAAAACCAAATGAGGAATTTGTATCCCTTGGTTTGTTTAGGAATCTTTAATATGCAGAGTTCAGAAGGAGATTCCTCAGACCTAATTTCAAGTACTTATGCTGAAAGCAATTCTAAAATGCTATTTATTTGTGTCTGTAAGTTTGTACATAGTAATTCGAACCTCGTTATTTTTTTCATGCATTTGAGTTTTGTTTAAAATGAAATGCTTCAGTTGTCATTTTTGTCATTGCATTTCAGCTAACTCATAGCTCTTTTATTGTGATCATTTTAGCACACCATTTATAACCCACAAAGTCAGGGGGTTTAGGTTTGTGTTTTTATTTGTTGCTAGAAGTTCTTTTATTCATTTTTCCTTGTGACTGTAGTGATGACTTCTAGATGCAGAAAGAGTGAATGGATGAGTGAATAATTGGTTTAATGCAGCTATTTTCACTTGAGTGCTTTTTTTTTTTTCCTCTTTGCAGGATAATTGTAAATGTATGTTTTAATTGTACTGGTACATGGAACATGTCAGTGTCTATACCACTGGACCAACAACATTTTCTGGCTTTCAGTGCCTGATAATAATGTCTTGATTTTCCTTTGAGACTCATTTATATATATTTTCCCCTTAGCAGTAGGGGGATTACAGGTGATTTGATCATTGATGTCATTGCAATTGTTATTTTTTAAAATAAATCTATAAAAATACTAAGAAGTGATTTCAATTTTGAGAAGTCTACATCCCTTGGGTTTTAGATTGTTGATACTGTTGAAATTGTGATCTCTGTAAACAGATATGTGTAGTGTCCAGGCCTCTTAGCTGTCTCTCCTTTTAATCTCTTTTCATTCCATTTTGGCCCTGCCACCCTGCTGAGAAGATATTTTTCTGTCACATGCGGGCTGATCATATATTTAGTCTTACTATTGGAAGTGTTAAAATGCAAAGAAGTAATTCCTTGAGTAAAATTAGCCCACTAAAACAGCATTAATTTATTAGATATTCTAAAAGTATAGCGAAAATAAAATTTTAAGATTTTTTTTATTCCTTCAGAAAAGACAAAACTTTTGATTGTTAAATATACATAATGTGCTCATTCAGCACTGCTTTGCGAATCTGAGCAACAGACTGTCGTCATACTAAAGTCAGAACCAGGAATTCAAAGAAAAACAGCCACAGGGAGCTCTTCCATGAGAGACCCAGAAGACCTGTCCTGGCAGACAACAGAAAAAGAAGAAACTCCCCTAACCATTGAAAGGGACTTACGGTAAAACAACCTTAGTCTAACGGTGTTAGAAACTATCCTGAGTGCTTTAGCCAGATGTCAGTGGAACTTTTCAGAAATTCAGAGATGCCCCGTTTCTGCCCACGATATAACACAAAGACCACCCTACTGATATTTATCCCTGGTGACGTGCTTTGTCGTAGAAGCATCTTCACTATCACATTTCAAGATGAACAAAACGCGGACGCTGCTGCTTTGAACGCCCTGCTCTTAGCTGCTGGCCCTGTCACTGCTACCCCTGCACCGGAAACCAGAGCGAGGCCCGAGGCGGCCGGAAGGGGTGGGGCGGGGCTAGCGCCACATTCGAGACCCACAGTGATTGGTTCGTGGGAGGACCCTCCCCAGAGCCGTCTTGAGGATTGGCTGCTACTCGGGGGTGGGGCCCTGTTTCCGGTAATTCGGCTGGCAACCCCGTCGCTGTCATGGCGACTGGCGACCGACTGAGGGCGCAGCTTCTGTGGCCGGTGGAGGCCCGGTTGGCGGCTCTGCTTCCGGACCTGCTGGTCTTCAGGAAGCCCCGGGCATCGGAACCCGAGCTGGCCACGGCCCAGGGCGTGCTCCTTGGCGTCCACGTGACGGGTGAGGGCGAGGGGAGGGGCGTCGCTCCCCGGCCTGCCCAAGGGGCGGCCGTTGGGCCCCAGCTCCCAGGGCCGCGGCGTTTGCGGGCCTGGCCCCGGCGAGCCAAGACGCCGCTTAACTGCAGGCCGCCGCCCGCACGAGACTCGGGGCCGTTTTCAGAACCGGAGGACGACCTGGCTTAGCCCTTGAGTTCTCTTGAGAAATGGTGAAGTCGAGACTCATAAAGGGGAAGGGTCTTTTCTGGGCCGCGCGGCCGTCTTTGAATCCATGTTTCTCCGAGCATTTCCAATAAGTATTCTTCCTCGCCCACGCACTGTATTCGCTCAATTCGTCCTTTGGGTCGACAAGTACGTGCCGCCTTTGCGGGAGTTAGAGAACTGGCAGCTACTTTGAGAGCCCCTTCATGTAACAGATGTTTACGGAGTGTATGTGTCATGGATATGAAGATGAGCGACACAGGTGCTTGTCCTCAAAATATGAATTCTCCATAGAGCAGCAATCCGTTCCCCTTGTCAGTGGTGTTTGTCTCTCAACGGGGGAGGGAGTCCTATGGTTCCCTGGGCCAGCGGGCCCGAGGACGGTGGGAAAGGGGTAGCTGGCTTCAGATGAAAGGGGCTTGTGGGGGACTCTTCACCGTCTGCAGCTCCTGGAAACATTGAGAGTGTCCCTCTGGATTCCCGAGGCAGCAGCGACCAGCTTGGCCCCAAGCATCTTAAAGGATGTCGGAGTTGCTCAACTCCAAGAGTTCTGCTTCCTGATAGGTGGAGGGACTAGGGCCTACAAGTTTAGGATTTGCAGCTAATTTAGTAATTTCTGCTTTGTTGGTCAGGGTTTACAGCATTAATGGACAGGTTCAGCCTGACCTGCAAGTCGGAACGTGACATGGACAAACTGGCCCACATCTTCAGTTATTACATTAGTGACATCGTGGAGCGTGAGTGACCCCTGCAGGGAAGCAAGGAGGTGTAGTCTGGGCCCCTGAGGGTTTGTAACAGAAGGGGGCCCGGGTTACTTTAAAGGGATATTAAAGGGTCATTCTTTCAGTATTACTCATATTGGTTCTTCAAGTTGCCACTGACAAGCTACAGCTTTGCCTGTATCTGCCATTCTGCCCAGTCTCATCCTGTTGACTCGGTGTCCAGAAACGGGAAAACAGCTCATTTTAGCTTTGCATGTTTGTATTTTATTTCAAAATAAAGTATTCCTCAAGTTGTCTCTTTTAACAATAATATGTACCTCGTGTGTATATCAGATATAATTTCCAAAACACCGTCCCATGCTAGTAGTGCATTTTGATCCGTTGAGGTAGGAGAGTGTTTCCTTTATTTTCTGCCATGTATTAAGCTTGTGCATATTTGCCTAACCTGGAAAATAAACTTATTTGTTCAGTAAACATGTTTTGAGTACCTACTCGGTGACATGCACTAGGTACAGAGAGCGCAAAACCCTACTCTGGAGGACCTTTCAGTCCAGTTAGGCCTACCTAACAGAAATTACTCTGGCCCTGTGCCTTTTAGTACCCACATAACATTCCCGTTCTTTACTGACAGAGCCCCATACAGTCACAGCCATCATTCTGAGATTCATCAGAATACTTACTTTGTGGTATCTCCTTTAGAAACCACTATTTGATTCTCCCCTTACCCATCAGGGACAAGTATTAAAGGTCTTTCCATTTTTCTCACCAAATGTAGATGAAAAGGGGAGATAGAAATTATGAATTAAGTAGGAATGATAACACCAGGAACTCTGGGTACTAGAAATAAAGGGGTAAATAAGACATAGTACCTGCCCTTGTGAAGTTTCCATTTTAGTGGGAGAGACAAATAATAAATAAACAAGACAATTATAGATTATGCATTCTACAAAGGAAATAAGTAGAGTATAGTGGTAAAAATAGGGTGAGAGTTTCTGTATTAGGGTAGTCATAGGTGGTGTTTAGGCTGAGACGTGAATGATGAGAGGAACACTGTGAAGGGCCAAGGGAAAGTGTTTTAGACGGAAGAATGCTAAGTACAGAGGTTCTGAGGTGGGAGAACGCTTGGCATTTCTAGGAACTGACGAGGCCAGTGTGCCTAGAGCACAGCTAGTGGAGGACCAGTGCCTTGAGGTGAGGTTGGAGATCATCGAGCTGTATAAGCCACAGTAAGGAGTTTGAACTATACATGTTTGTACAAAGGGAAACTGAAAAGTTTCTAGCAAGGGAGTGATGTGATCTGATTTACATTTTTTAAAAGCTTATTTTAGCTGCCTCGTGGAAATCGGATTAATCGGGAGCTGATGAAGGGTGGGTAGTAAGAATGGAAGCTAGAAGAGACAATTGGAGCAATTGTGGAATGAAGGAGATTTAGTCTAGGGTAGTGGTTCTCAACCTTGGCAGCACATTAGATAACCACTTGGGGAGCTTTTAAAGATCCTGATGTCTGGACCAATTAAATCAGCGTATCTTGAGATAGGCCCGGGAATCAGATTTTTTAAAGTTTCACAGGGAATTCCATTATGCAGTCAAGTTTGAAAACATTAGTCTCAAGATATGGCAGTGGAGTTGTATGGAGATGGACTGAGTTGAAATATATTTTGCAGGTTCAACAGACAGGATTTGCTGGTGTATGGGATTTCAGTGGGAAGTCGTGAGACAAGGACTCACGTTTTCAGCTTTCAGAACTGATTTGATGGTGGCAACACTTACCAGAAGGGAAAGTCTGCGCTTTGAGAAAGAAAATCAGGATTCTGTTTTGAATACATTGAGCTTGAACTATCAATAAGTCATTTAAATAGAGTAAGTGTGAGTTGATGGGGAGAATAGAAATAAAGAGAAAGAGCCTAAGACTAAGGCTTGAGGAACTCCAGGGGAGAATTATGATTAAGGAGAAAGAACCTACAAAAGAGACTGTAAGACAGCCTGTGATGTAAGATATTGTGGTATTCATGAAACCAAAGGGGACATAGTGTCTCAGGAGGAGAGTGATGGCTAGCTGGGTTGAAAATGAAAGGTGTCTAATACAGTGAGGTCAGAGAATATTAAATTTAGCAAGATGAATGCTGTTAATAATCTTGATAATTTTAGTGAAGTGGCAGAGATGGAAGTCAGACTGGGGTAGGTTGAGAAGAGAATAGTAGAGAAAAAAATTTGAGTGAATGACGATGTGAGGAGAAAAATTGCATATGGTCAACTCTTGAGAATTTATTTTTTTTGCTGGAAATGTAACACAAAATTGGCCCTCAGAGCTAGAGAAGAAGGTTAATCTTGTTGTTTTGTTTTTGTCTTTTTTGTTTTTAATATAGGAATGACCCAGTAGAGAGAAGATAAGGGAAGGAAGGAAGTTCTTGAGAGGGTGAACAGGGCTAGGATCCAGAGCACAAATAAGAGGGTGACGTTGAAGAGAAGGTGATATAAGTAAAGACAGATTTGGGGAGAAGCTAGGAGGAAAGAAGAAGGAACCTAACCCTTGGAGTACACAAATAGACCAGAAAAGATATGAGGAAAAACTCAGTAGGTTATTCTTTTGATTATATATGATTCTTCATGATCTGGTATAGTTCTGATTTTGACTTATTTTCCTCTCTCTCCCTTACTAAATTTCAGATGTGCTCTGTTTTGGAGGGGATATCCTAAATATTACAGGTATTTTTCATTTTTTCTGAATATTTAAAGGACTATAAGAGAGGAAGACTATTTAGGTGGAGCTAGGCATATTTGTTTATTCAGCATTATTTGGTAATGTAATATGTTCTGGGCCTGAGGAAACAAAGATGGGAAAGACACAGTCCCTGCCTCAAAGGGTCTCCCATTCTGATGGAAAAACCGTGCCCATATTGAGCTCACATTGCTTTACATTTTATTCAGATTGAATGACAGAAACATAAGTGCCTATTAAAGGCTTCGTGAGTAAACTAACGGGAAACTTGGTTATTAGTTGCAGAAGGTAAATATAAGATAGGGAGGAGTCAAAAGTCTCCTATCTGGAGAACTCTTAGGATCATTAACAGCTTTATGCCACAGAGTTGGCCCATCTTTTTATCTAAACTTAAACTAGCCATAAAATTAGATTTGATCATGAACCTACATTTTGTGAACTTTGTTGCTAGTACCTCTCCCCCTTCTTTTAGTATACTGGTGGAAGGAAGATTACTAAAACTATTCTTAAACCTTAGTAACATTTCAGCTTCTACCTAGTCATGTTTTTATATGCTCAATTGTTTTGAGGATCTAAAGCAATATTTTAACTTAGGATATTTGTAGAGTCAAGAAACCTTGCCTGACACCTTGCATGATATCTTCTGCAATATTGGAGACTTTGTCCTGGCCAAGTGAATCCAGGTATTTGACCTTTGTCAGCCTATCTTGTGTCTCTGCAGGGAATGTGCTCCTGGCACTCTGGACAGTGGAACAGAATCAGCTGAGTGACATCATTACCCTGGTGGCAAAATGCAGTCTGGAGATACAGGAGAAATTTGGCATCTACCATACCAGAGAAGGCCAGGACCTCCAGCTACAGATAGGTAGTAGCTACCAAAATAGACTTACCTGAGGCTGCATAGGTAGTTATTGGCCAGAACCAGGGCTGAAACTCGTGTTTCCTGACTCTCACTTCATTTTCACTTTTTCATTCTTCCTCCTATTTTTTATTTTTACTGGTCACTTTTTGCTATTTTTATTCTATTTATGCTATTTTATACTTCCAGTTTTATTGGGAAGTATATATTTAAGGTATACGACTTGATGTTCTGATGTAGGTACACATTGTGAACTAATCAGCACAATGAAATTAATTAACATGGTTTATCACATCACTTTCTGACCATTTTCTTTTATTAAAAAAAAGAGAGAGAGAGAGATCTAGTTGGAAAACAATAACAAAGACAGTATAAAAATTTCAAAAGATAGCCCTGGCCAGTTTGGCTCAGCGGTTGAGCGTTAGCCTGTGGACCAGAGAGTCCCGGGTTCAGTTCCCGCTAGGGGCACGTACCACCAAAAAAAAAAAAAAAAAAAATTCAAAAGATAAACAACAAATTGGGAAAAAACATTTGCAACTCATATCATATAGACTAAGGGAGAATTTTTCTAATATAGAAAGAACACACAGAAATTGTAAAAATAATAGAAATCAAGAAAAGACATTCTAAGAAAAATGGGCAAAAGACATGAATAAATAGTACATAGAAAAATAAATACATATAGTCAACTTCATAATAAGAAAAATGCCAATTGAGAGAGCATTTTTTATCTATAGATACACAAAAATTCATATGCTAGACACACTGTTATGGAGGTTGTAAAGAGTAAGCCTTCTTATGTGGTACTGGTGAGAATCAGCAATGATACGACTTATGTGGAGGATGATTCGGTAATCTTTATCAAGGTTACAAATGCATTTATTATTTATCTCAGCAATCCTACTTCTGAAATTCTATAGGTATACCTGAGGATATATGAAATGTCATATGTACAAGACTGTTGATTGCAATATAGTTTATAGTAAATGGTTGAAAATAATCCAACTGTAGGAGACAGCTTAAATACTAATATGCCTACCCAGTGAGATTCTCTGCAACTTTAAAAACATATGTTCTGATATAGAAATATCTCCAAAATACAATTGAGAAAAAGTAAGTCATATTTTATTGTATGAATATACTACAATTTGTTTATCCACTCACTCTTTTTTTAAGTTCGGCTAAGAGAAGAATTCAGGGCCAAGACTCAAATTATAAGAAAAAGTTTATTTAGAAAGTCACAGAAGTAGAATAAATGAGTCCTAGAAGAAAAGGGCTCAGGAAACAAGTTACAGCAAAAGAAGGGCCCTTAAACCTTGGGGGAGAGAGGGAGAGAGAGCCCGAGCATGTATGCGCATGGGCATGCTCCATAGAGAGAGATTTTATCCCCTCACTTTTGATGGACAATTGAGTTGTCAATTTTTGGCTATTACAAATAAAGCTATTATGAACATCTGTGTACGAGTCTTTGTGTGGACATATGTATTCATTTCTCTTGGGTAAATACCTAGGAGTGGAAGGTCTAGGTCATGGTAGATGTATGTTTACCTTTTTAAGAAATTGCTAATCTTGTCCTGGGTAGCTCAGTTGGTTACAGTGTTGTCCCAATACACCAAGGTTGTAGGTTTGATCCCAGTCAGGGCACATTCAAGAATCAACCAATGAATGCATAAATAAGAGGAACAACAAATCCTCTCTCTCTCTTTTTTTCTCTCTCTCTCCTTCTCTTCTCTCCTCTTCTCTCCTCTCTCTCTTCTTCCTTTCTCTCTCTAAAAATCAATAAATCATAGAAATTGCTAATCTTTTTGCCAAAGTGGTTGTACTACTTGACATTCCCACCAGCAATGTATGATGGTTCCAATTTCTCCATGTTCTTGTCAAAGCTTATTACTGTCCGTTTGAAGAACTTTTTTTAAACATTTCTCATAGTATGAGTTTGCTGAAGATGTGTTAGTTCAGCTTTTGTATGTCTGGAAAAATCTTTTTTTGAAAGGTATTTTCACTGAGTATAAAATTCTAGGTTGACAGGGATTTTTCTCTCTCTTACATTAAAGCTGTTGTTCTGCTATCTTCTAGCTTGTGATGTTTCCAACAAGAAATCTGCTTTCATCTTTATTTCTTTGTATATAATGTATGTTTTTTTCTTCTGGCTGCTTTTAAGATGTTTTTATCACTGGTTATAGGTTATTTGATTTTGATGTGCCTTGGTACAGTTTTTTTGTTTTTTTGGTTTTGTTTTTTTGTGCTTAGGGCTCATTGAGCTGCTTTGATCTCTGGGTTTTAGTTTTTATCAGATTTAGGAAATGTTCTGCCATTATTTCTTTAAATAATTTTTTTTGTTTCCTTCTTCCTCTGTTCAATTACACATGTTGGGCTGCTTGAAATTGTCCCATGATTCACTGTTGCTGTGTTCACTGTTTTTCTTTTTTCTCCCTGTCTTTTATTTTGGATAGTTTCTATTGCTGTTTTTTTCAGGTTTACAGACCTTTTCTTTTGCAATTACCTTTATTTTATCTAGTGTATTTTTTATCCTTAGAAGTTTGATTTGGGTCTTTTTTTTATCTTCCATGTCTCTATTTGATCAGCCTTTCTCTAGGTTCTTGAATATATGGAATATAATTACAACTTTTAATGTCCTGTCTACTAATTTTATCATTTTTGTTATTCGGGGTTGGGTTTGATTGATTTTTCTCTTCACTGTAGATGATATTTTCCTTTTTATTTGCATGCCTGGTAACTTTTTGTGGGTGCCAGGCATTGCCAATTTGATGAGTGCTAGATTTATAAATTATTGCCATGATATTCTTGAGCTTCATCCTGAGATCCTTTCAGGCAGCTTGATCCTTTCAGGTTTTGCTTTTAAACTTTGTTGTATGGGACCAGAGTTGTGTTTAGTCTAGAGCTAGTTTTGCCCTGTTCCTGAGACAAACCCCTTCAATGTCCTGTATTAAGTTTGACACTCTGGCCAGTGAGAGCAGGAACAATTCCCATCCCTGTGTGATATCAAGGATTATTCCTTCTAATCTTTTCAGGTGGTTCTTTCCCTGCCTCAGGTGGTTTCCTCACATTGATGCAGTACTCAGCTAAAAACTTGAGAGGGCCCCTGTACAGATTGCTGGAGTTCTTTCTGTGTGCACTACCTCTAGCCACCTTGGCCTCCTGAGACTTGTTTGAATGTCTGTCTTTAGGTGTGTTTGAGACAGAAAGAAATCTGAGACAAGGTATTATTTTTCTTTTTCTTTTTTTACATTATCTTCAGATAGAGTTGGTGGGGGGGGGACATCGATGTGAGAGACACATCAACTGGTGGCCACCCACACGACCCCAATCGGGGCTGGGGACAAACTGCAACCAAGGTATATGCCCTTAGCGGGAACTGAACCGGGGACATTCTGGTCTGCAGGGCAACGCTCTAACCGCTGAGCTAAACTGGCCAGGGCAAGGTATTATTTTTTAAGGTAAGCTCACTGAATACTTCTGCATCTGTGTGCAATAACAAGATTGGCATGATGCAGAGAGCAATGTGAGGATTCCAGTCCCCTTCCTTTGCATAGTCTATTGAGTTTGGCTATTCACCACTTGTCTCCTTTTTTCTGGATAGGTCTGTCTGCAGGTCGGATTTCCCAGGTTATTGTTGGAGACGAGCAGCGACAGTACCTCTTGGTGATTGGGCGAAATGTAGATGATGTCCAGTTAGCTCAGCGTTTGGCTCAGGCAAATGAGATTGTCTTGTCCTGGAACTGCTGGATGCTCTGTGAGCAGTACATGTTTGAAGTGGAAATCATGAAGGAGTATGAAGCTGTCAAGGTAGGAGGCAGGCCCCATCCACTGCACATTCTGCAAAGGCCTTTCTACTGCACACCGCAGGCAGTGCTCTGGTGGTGGTCACATATTGTCTGACCAAAACAACAACCATTGGAGCTCTGTTTTGGAGAGAGGTGGGGGATATCCTCCCAGAAAGATAGATGAGGCAGAACAGTAAGGCTGAAAAGATAAATAATAAACAAAAGAGATGGCATCCTCAACCCCTCTGTTAAGGAACCAAAGGTAACCCAGTTGGTGGGTAGGCACAGAATTGAGCAGTTTTCTTTCTATAGTTAAGAGATATGCGGATCACTGACCCATTTGATTTTGATGAGCATTTTGACAAGTGCCTCGATTATCTGCCACATTACCGGACGAGTGCTGGTAAGTTACTTTGTTCTTTCTACCCGAGCCTGAAATTTTAAAGATTAATTTTCCACACGGCTGGAAACATTTTGTTTGTTTTCCTTTTCTCAGACACTCTCAGAACTGCCCTGGAGTTGGATCCAGACTCTGCACTTAAGCAAACTCTGCGGAAGCACATAATGAAAAACCTTTTGAAGAAGGTTATTTCCTAGGTCTCGAGTTGTTGTGTAGACTGTGCATGTGTTTGTGTAAACAGGTGTACATTTACCTGTGATGACCTTTTTGTATTGATCCAGTCTGTCTCCTGCACCCCATTGTAATACGAGCAGATTTCTCCATCTGCATCAATTACTGTGATGACATGTCTTATAACTTTAGATTTCTTAATCCCAGAAAGTAAAAACCATATTTGTTTTTCAGTTTGTCCCTCAAGAAACTAGTATACTGTATATACTGTATATAACAGAGTATAGTATAGAGTAAGTTAAGTATATGCTTGGTTAATATGTATTGACTGATTGTGTATATATAAACATGTAAATCCCTTAGTAAGTGATGTAATGACTAATGAAATTGGAAATATCAAACTAAATTTTAGAAAATATGAAAGCTTAACAAGTTTCATCAGTGAATTATGTTTAAATTCAAACAGTTTTTATCCCAAATGCACTGGTTTATATATCTTATATATCTCTCAAACCTGAATTTTCTTTTAAGATTTTTTTTAAATTCTCACACGAAGACAGTTTTCCATTTTTTTGTTCAGATAGAGTGGGAGGGAGAGAGAAGGAGAGAGAGAGAAACATCAATGTGAGAGAGAGACATCGACTGGTTGCCTCCCGCACAACCAGGGCCAGCAACTGAGGTACATGCTCTTGACCAGAATCAAACCCGCCGCTTGTCAGTCTGTGGGCCGCTGCTCTAAACTGCTAAGCCAAACCGGCCAGAGCTCTTTTAAGATTTTATCTGAGCCTCTTAAATTATTTTTTGCCACTCACCATGGAATATGGAATTAAAAATTTTAAACACAATGCTGGCAGTTGAAAATGCAGGCAAAGTAACTCACTGTGTCCTTGTAGATTGATGTAGGCCAACCTATGGAGTATATATCCGAATTTCGTACCGTGACTATGGTTTTGGTCAGCCTGGAGTTCCACCAGACAGCATGGATGTTGCATTTGTGTCATCTTATCCAGGAGGCTGCATCGTACATCTCCAGAGTCATAGAGAAAGGGGGTGGTCAGCTGAGCCGGATCTTTATGTTTGAGAAAGTAAGTACAAGGAAACCTGACCTATCAGCATGAAAGGTGAATGAAGAATAATAGTCTTGTATGACCTGTGTACCTCTCACATAACACAAGCATAAATCAGATGCCCAGCTACTTATTTTGCAACAAGCTATTTTACCTTAAAACTTCAACTAATAGTAGTCAAGGAATAGGATGTTCTAGTTCATTGTCAGGGTAATCGAGGGTTATTCTCTATATCCTTTTTTATTCAATTCTTGTTGGAAAATCCTCGTGAAAGGATAAAGAATGTTTTTCTGGCTCTGTTAGTTGAGTAAATGTAGTCAGATCTGTCTCAGACAATTAAGGAGCTTGAAAAAGAGCAGCTTCAATACAGTATAAAGGAAGAAAATGCAGGCACATAGATTTAGCTCACGGTATATACTAGAGATTGAATATTTGAAAAGTTCTTGGCATTAATTTTTCTTGTTTTAATTTTTAATTCTTTGAAAAGGTAGTTAAATTAAGATTTTATTTCTTCTTAAAATCTCCATGTTGATGTGGCCTGAGCATTTATTTCATGAGCCCTGTAGAATCCTACATTTCTAACAGAAGAACAGTCAAGAAAACATCTGGCTTCATTCAGGGGATTTGGGTCATTTTCGGCAAGCCATAGTCCTTCCCCAAGTAAACTCTCTTTCCTTTCTTTGTTCTCCATTCCAGGGCTGCATGTTTCTATGTGTTTTTGGCTTTCCTGGGGATAAGAAGCCAGATGAGTGTGCACATGCCCTGGAGAGCTCCTTCAGCATTTTCAACTTCTGCTGGGAGAATCTTGCTGAGACCAAGTGAGGAGGAAGGTGGGGCAGAGAGGAGCTTCTCAGGCCCCAGGCGGCTCATTAGGCAGGGTAGGCGGCTGTAACAGGTAGCAGGGTTTGATGACATCCAGAATCTCCCTTAAGGGGAGGGAACATGCTAAGAGAAGTCAGAAAACAAGATGTATTAAGAAATTACTAGTTACAGAAGTGTCCTAGATATCCGAGTAAATGAAGATAAGTTTCCATCCAGTGGGTGGGAGAGGGGGGAGGAACAGAATACACATAGCAAGATTCAAGAACACTGTAAAGGAACAAGCAAATGTGTAAATTAATATAATACAAATAGTATATCTGTATGTGGAGGGAATGCAGAACAAGGACTGCCTGTCTATCTACTAGGAGGAGCGGTATGGGGCAATGACCTAGACAGGAAGGACCCACAGCTGGTTAATGCTCTCCTTCTGGCTTTCACTCTTGGTCTTTCCCAGACCCACTAATGTTTCTAGAATTCACACTGATATGATCACCCTCCTCTACATCCACTTCACCCTCCCACCTTCTATAAACTAGTCCTAATGAAAGTATAAAAAAGTCCATTTTCCCACTAGTTGCACTATGACAAGGTTGGTTGGAATTTGTCAAATGACTTTTTTTCCCTTTAGAAAGCTATGGGGAAAGTGTATGCATGAATAGATTTGAAAAACGGTTAATTCTAATGTTAACATTGAGTCAGAGATGTGTTTGCTTGCCATTCTTATTCAAGATGAATAAAATTATATCACACATTTATATAGTGCTTTAAAATTTACAGAATACTTTAATATACGCTACACACGAGGAAACTAAGACCACAGAAGAGAAATTACTAGCATATAGCAGAGCTGGTGAGGAAACCCAGATCTTCTGTCCTCAAAGTCTGTCATTTTCATTATCCTACAGCTGCCTCTTATAAAATGTAAATACTCTCCAAAAAAAGATAAACACATATTACTAATGTGATATAATTTTAGAGGCATACTTATAGAATGTTTGTACTGAAAAGAAATTTATGTTATCTGATACAACTCCTTATTTACAGATAACAAAGATCCTACAGTTGCTTCATATAAACTCGGACTGTTGGCCCAGGACAGATAGTGTTGGCACTTCTTTCAGGCACAGTGGGATCTGCAGATACTTGTGCAGCCCACTTTCAAATGTTACTTCCATTACGGATGTGCTGGGCTATTCTGCTCTTGAATTTGGCATTGACATATATCTATATATGAAAGAACATATTCTTCATCAATGAAAAACATTTTTAAAAGAAGGAAGGAACATGGACTGCCAGAAAGAACAAGGGGGATTGTAAAGTACAATAGAAAGAAATAAGAAGTGTCCAAGTTGAGAAAAGTGTTCCTTGTTTAATTATCATTGTCTTGTTAATAGCTGAGTTTCTTACATGCATAACTGCATTCATTCAGCGAGCATTGGTCGAACACAGCTATGAGCCATTCACTGTGCTAGGTTTGAGGGACATAAAGAGAAGTAAGACACTACTGCCTCAGCTAAGTAAACAACTATCTTTAATACAACAAAATTTAACTATAGGAATAAAGTGCTGTAGGAGCTGCAACAAAGTGCTATGGGAAAAAATAGTGAATTCTCATCAGAGATTCCAGAGACGTCTCGACTATAGAAATAACTTTTGAGCCAGGTTGAGAAAAGGCATTTTAGACAAAGGAAGCATGATGAAACATTAGAAGATTTTTAGTTTTGTTCTTGGTATGGCAGCAGACCCCACTGCCTGGTTGTTGTCTTCGGTGCCTCTTATTCGCCTGGGGCAATGGGCCCAGTGAATGAATGGTAAGAGTCTTCAATCCTATCATTCATGTAAATTCTGCAAAAGAAATTTAATGTCTCAGGAGACAATAATGTTAGGATTGTTGTCACTATTGATGCTATATGAACAACTGAAAATTGTTTATGTGTATATTTAACTTAAAACTGTGCTCACTGCACCCTCTTTCTCCATCCATGTATCTTGTTACCTGTCACAGGGAATTTTTACATCAGTCAAGTAAATCTACTGTTCTCTGTTCATTGCCACCTTTGAGCCTTTGCCTCACCTAGAACGGTGTATGCCCCCCGTTAAAGTAATTCATATGGCCAGTACTTTTCCATGCATGGACTAGGTAGGACCACTTCTCTCTTCACCTTTCCCTACTCTGAACATCTTCTATGCTCTAGCCTTCTTGAACTATTTAGTTTTGCAAAAGCACACCAGATTCTTCAGAACCTGTGCCTTCCCACTAGACAGAATGTTGTTGCCCCACTTTGGCAATACTTCAACTTGCAAGGATCCATCGTATGTCCTCTCCTTTATGAAATACTTCTTTTATTCTCTCCAGTTAATGCTTCCCTTCTGTTTGCTCTGTTAATTTCCTGTACTGATCTCTAATATGTAGTACTTGTGTTGTTAACCTATAAATATGTCTTTTCACCTTCCTCAATTCCTATCACTCTCCTCCCCAGATTGAACTTCTCCAGGAAAGGGTATTTTTGTACAGGTCTTATTGTATAAACTCCTAGCCTAATGGTTGGTACTGTACATACTTCCCAATGCTTGTTAAATGAATGGATGTATGCATTATATGAATGCATGAAAATATATTACTTATTTATAAAAAATTTATTCCAAAGTCTAATTTGCTTCAAAAAGCCTTCCATCAGCAGCCTGATGTTTTGGTTATTCCTTTACTCTGGCATTCCAGCATTATTTGGTCCATTAACCCTGTTCAGACATCTGTTGATGTATTTAATTTTCAGGTTTTATCTGAGGCAGTGTGGTATAGTGGAAATAACATTGGTCTAAGAGTCAGGAGGCCTGGGTTATGATTCTACAGTTGACTTTTGTAACTCTGTGAAAGTGAATTAACTCTTTGTTTTGTTGGTGGTGGTGGTAGTGGTGGTCAAATGGGCTTCAAATATTTGCCCTACATACTCCACGTTTATTGTTAATTATCCTTTCAAGGGTCAGATGAGGTTATCAATTTGAAAGTACTTCATAAAGCATATATAAAGTATCTGACAGATAAAAAGTAAAATTTTTAGTCTTTTTACTAATAATTACTCCCCAACTAAAACTCCTGGAGTAGGGAGACCATTCTGTTCCTTTTGGTTATTTCCCTAATAGTCAGTACTGTGTACCCATAATGTGATGTAGACTGACAGCAGCCTTTGGTCTTTTCCATTCTGAGCTTGGAAACTAGTCTTCTGGATCTAGATAGTGACAAATCTAGTGCCTGACCTGGAGGCTTCTGACTGTGTACTCACACTCTTGCTTTTCTGATCCCCAGGCTTGTTTCCATCAGTATCACCAATGGACCAGTATTCTGTGGCATGGTTGGGGCAGTAGCAAGACACGAATATACAGGTAGAATAGGATGCTGGACTGTTAGTTCTCTGACTTAGGGGGTAAAGGTAGAGAAGGTGATCAAAAAATTCTGTGTTCATTTCTTTTCTGTCTCCTTGACACAGTTATTGGCCCGAAAGTGAGCCTTGTGGCCAGAATGATAACTGCTTATCCAGGTTTGGTGTCTTGTGATGAGGTAACATATCTAAGATCCATGCTGCCTACTTACAACTTCAAGAAACTCCCAGAGAAAATGATGAAAAACATCTCCAACCCTGGGAAGATGTATGAATACCTTGGCCATAAAAGATGTATGTGAGTGTCATTGTGTGATAGTTCATTCCAATCGCTTTTACAGAATCAGGGCATAGGAGTAATCAGTGTTTGATTGTATGAAATTAGAAGCAAAGATCTTCTAGTACTGATGACATAAGAGATATATGAAGAGGGCTTCGTGTCTGAGATCTTCAGCTTTTATGTTTAGCTCTTAGCTAGTTCCTCAGCGAATTTGTTGCTAGCCAACAGGAAAAGAATAGCCATAGGTCATTAATCTAGATGTTCTTTTTAGTTTGTGTACTTTATACTTCCCTGAACCTAGAACAATCAAGAATACTTCTCCCCACCTTCTTCCAAAATTTTTTAGTTTTTATCCTCACCCGGGGACATTTTTCCATTTTTGTTCAGATAGAATGAGAGGGAGAGAGAGGAAGAGAGGGAGAGAGAGAAACATTACATGAAAGGGACACATCGAGTGGCTGCCTCCTGCACAACCCCAACTGGGGCCGGGGACAAACTACAACCAAGGTACGTGCCCTTAGCGGAAACCGAACCCGGGTCTCTCTGGACCCCGGGCTGACGCTTTAACCGCTGAACCAAACCAGCCAGGGCTTTAGTTTTTAAACTCTTTTTTACATAATTCTGTACCTCTTGAGTTATCTGAAAGTACTTGTTTATAAGAACCATTTTCCTTCTATCTATTTAGAGATATATTATCTATTCAAATCTATTTTTAACAGACACATTTTCCTTTATCTTTATTCCTAGCATGTTTGGGAAGAGACATTTGGTCAGAGAGAGAAATGAAAATCACCCTTTGTTAGGTGAGTTTTCTTTTCTACCTTAAATTGCATTTATTTTCAGCTGTAGACTATTAATAGGATTAAAAACAAAATTCAAGGCTAAATGCTTCTAAGCTGTGTTAAAAATAGAAAGCAATCGCTTCTTGGCCTTTTGGCTAAGGTCAAGTGTAGTATCTCTTCTTATCAGTTTAATATCTGAAACGTCCTCTCTCCAGGGACAATATATTAAATGGATTTTGGAGCAGGGAGTTGGAATAGGAGATTGCTCTGTCCGCTCCACGCATCGACTTGGTATTGCAGTACCTCCGGAACGGTGCAGTGAAAAAAACAATAGAAAGCAGCCTTTTTAGTGCATTTATGTTCATTTTGAAGAGGATTTGCCTTTTCTTTTCCATATTGAATGTTTAAATTACAGGGGAGTCCTAAAGTACCAACCTTTAGTAAGAATCTTTGTAAGTCAGAGTTCAGCTATTGAGATCTGACCAGCTTATTGCGGGTCAACTGTGGAAGGAAACTCCTCATCCTTACAGAGTGAAGATAGCACCAAGACTGTTGCCACATACACTATCAATTCTGTCTTTATATTATTTTATCTACATCTGTTAGATCATTTATATCTTTACATAGCATTGATGGACTTTGACTAAAAATTATGATTATGGAAATTTTTTTTAAACTTTTTTTTCTTCATTGATTTTAGAGAGGGAGGAAGGGAGAGGGAGAGAGTAAGACAGGAACACTGATGAGAGAGAGCATCAACTGGCCGCCTCCTGAATGCCCCCGACTGGGGATCGGGCCCACAACTTGGGCATGTGCCCTGACCAGGAATCGAACCGGTGACCTCTTGGTGCATTGGATCGACACTCAAGCACTGAGCCACGCTGGCCGGGCTATTATGGAAATTTTTACAAAAAGCTAAGACATATCCATGTGGTACCTAATTGTCCAGAATGCCATTACTTAGGCTCTGGAGCAAACATCAAGCCCAGCACACATGTCTCTATAATCCAGAGTTAATTTTCTGGGAAAATATGTGAAGTCTCACCGAAGAATGGGATTCTGCCAAGGATTCTGGGGGAGAAAAGACATTCTGAGACTTAATTTTGCAAATTAATTCAAATAAATTGAGTGTCTACTAAAAAGCACAGAAGTGTTCAGTGTTCCCTGTCTCTCTACAGACCGGGAGAAAGAACTGGAAACCTTCCGAATGGCACAGCAAGGATGTTTGCACCAGAAGAAGGGACAAGCAATTCTGTATGAAGGTGGAAAAGGCTATGGAAAAAGTCAGCTGTTGGCTGAAATAAACTTGCTGGCCCAGAAGGAAGGGCATAGGTAAAGACACCTGCTTTCTGACTTAATGTGTGCTTCTTTTGGGGCTCCTTTCCTTTGTTAGTGAGACTCGTGTATCATTAGATTCAGTATCCTTGGGCCCGTAGAGTGAGTAACCTCTCTGTGTGTGGGTCAGCAGACTCCCTGTGACCATAGTAACATTCACCAGGGTATTGCCATTGAAGCTGAAGGAAGCAGATTCCAAGCAGCGCTTCTATGCCATCCAGACCCTCATGGCCATCTTCTTTGAGATTGATACATGCCCAGCCTATTACCGGCAAGAGTGCCTACACAAACAGCTTTGTGAGATGGTGGAGGAACCACTGCACTGCCTTTTTAATGACCTCTTCTTTGTAAAGGTAAGGAAGGCAGTGGCTTTCTGAATTAGATTACTACTGTTTATTGTATATATAATCTGTATGGCCTAAGAACACATAGTTAGCAATGTTGGGGTGAGATGTGAAGTCCCTTTGACACCAAAACCCAGGTTTTTCTCTTTTTTGAGGAGAGTGAATGCTAGGACTGACTCTGATACTTGCTAGTTGCATCCTGGCACAAATCACTAGCCTCTCTGAGCCTCAAATTTTTTCACCTATGAAAATGACGAGTACAGTACTTTCTTGGATTTTAAAGGACATGGCATATACGAGATTGCATTGTAACTGTGAAGTGCTAAATCCATCAGGATGATCCTAACCAGTGGAGCATCCCCAGCAATTGTATTCATGTGTTCTCAAGTCAGTTTGCAATGTTTTGTTCTTTAAACCCAGTTGTCCTTTCCCTAGCCACCGAGCATGTCGCTTGAACCAGCATCTGAATCTCAAAAGCTTGCAGTGGTCTAGGGTGCATACGTTACCCAATAGAGAGTAGGCTAAGAATTCCCTGGTCCACATTTCCATTTTTACATCTTTTATTACTTATTTCAATATACCCAGCCTGCAAGCATTGTATTTCATGGAAAACAGAAAAAGGAAATCTGTTCAATCCCCCAGCACAGCCCTGTTTTAAGACAGACCTTGCCTAGCGCTTTGGCCCTGGCCAGAGTGGTTAAGGAGTAGCACCACTGTGGCTCTCAGGCCATGGTAACTAAGGTGCTCGGCCCAGCAAAGGAAACAGTGTGATGTCTATTGCAATGGTTTCTGACAAGTCTCGTGCACACATTCATCCTGGTATACTTGGAATAACTGGGGTACTAGAGCTGTCCAAAGTGACATTGCTAAGTCTGACCTGTCATGTTATTCCTTAGTTATGACTCTTTAAGGGTTTTCCAGAGTCGGGTATGAAAAGGAGCTCTCTCTTTCTCTCTCTCTGTAAGCGCCAATGGACTTTCAGTCTTAACCTCTGAACTGTATGTTGATGTTTGTAACTCTATGCCCAATACTGTAGAAACCCATTCTCACTCAAAATAGAATCACTTTCTATTCCCTTTGCAGAATCTGTATATTTTTACTAGATTGTCATTTTGAATGCTAATATATGAATAATTTTCCTGGTCAGTTTCCCTTATCCTTTGAAGTTTCACACATGGATGACCTGACCAGACAAAAGAAGATTAAAGCGTGTTTTTTTCAAGTGCTACAGGAGGTGAGTACTTTTGCTACATACCATTATCTAACTCTTAACATTTGGAGATGATTTATGCTCATTTTAATCTGTCCACATCACACCTTGATTTAGGCATTTCTTGACCTGCCTGTTTGTTGGCATCTTCATTGTTTGTATCTATCTTTAACCTTGAATCCATCATATAGTACAGCATACAATAAAGGTTTTTGCTCTTTTCTGATCCTGTTTCTTCATGAAATTTTAATGACTTAATTTAAAACAGTAGTTTCTAAATGCAGGTGGATAGCTATTAAAAATAACAGATACTCAGGCCCCAACCCAGAATTACAGAATCTATAAGAGCAGAAATTGATATAGCCATTCTGGGAAGCAATCTAGAAGTAACAAGTCAAATTTTAAAAGCATGCATTCTCTAGACCCAGCAATTCCACTCCTGGACATATATTGCAGGGAGTGTGTCTATTGCAGTGTGTGTTTGTGGAGGCTAGGGAGGCACTGGCATGGACTCCGGATGAGCACTATGGACTGTAATGCAGAAGTTAGAAGTAAGGGGGTCGATGAAAACATAGCAACACAAGGTGATCTTTAAAACAGTCCTTATTAAAGAGACAGAAATAATGTGACCTGTAATACAGTACCATTTATATAAAAACAATATTCTTGACAAAACAACCATGTATAATTTATATGATCAATATACAAATGAAAAATTAAATGATAAACATATTAAAATGGTTACCTGTGGCCGTGGGGGAATGGGGGCACTTCTTTAAGTGGGGAATGTGGATAAAAGTAAATACATTTAAAAAATTTTTTTTTATCCTCACCCAAGGACATTTTTCGATATTTTGTTCAGATAGAGTGGGAAGGAGAGAGACAGAGACAGAAACATCAACGTGAAAGGGACACATCGAGTGGTTGCCATCCACACGACCCAACCAGGGCTGGGGACAAACTGCAACTGAGGTACGCACCCTTAGCGGGAACTGAACCCGGGTCTCTCTGGACCGCAGGCCAACGCTCTAACCGCTGAGCCAAACCGGCCAGGGCTAAATACTTTTTTTCAAAGGCTACATGAATAGGGTCTATTAATTGGTAGTTTTAGCAAGCACTCCCAGGAAATTATGATTTACAACCTGGTTTGGAAATACTGGTTTAAAGTATTATGAATCCTCACACAGTTTGAAGCTTTTGCACAATAAAATGTTTGAAAGTTTTAAGTTTGATTTGGAGAATATTTTGATGCTTATTTCATTTTTTTGTTGGAGTATCTTCTTGTCCAAAGAAGCTCAGTACATATCTTTAGAAATTAGATATACAGGTTATATTTTATATTTATAAAGTAGAATACTACCTGGACTTAGGATATGTTTTACTCTGAAAACCTCAGCCTTTGTGACATTTTATTTAAATTGTTGATGAGAAATTCATGGTAGATTTGCAAGTCAGGTAACTTCACTTCTAATGAGAGGTTGTCATTGTCTCTTTGCTCTTATTTCCAGGCATTGAGGGAAACACAATTGATTTTCCTCATTGACGAGGCCCAGCATATGGATGCAGCTTCCTGGGAGTTTTTGGGAACATTGCTCTCCAGTGTGCCCATCATCATGGTGATGACATTGACACCTACCTTCACCCTGTGTGGCGAGGCCCAGCACTTCCTGCAGAGCCCTCACGCTATGCTGATGCCCATTTCGAAATTAGCAGTGAACTCACTGTTGAGAATGGCATGTTGGGAACTGGGAGTGGTGAGCATCCCCCAAGAGCTGCAGATGTGAGTGGCTAGGACTAGCTGGGCACTTCATTAAGGGAGGAATGGCATTATAACCATGATCAGACGCAAGACTAGATGTAACAGTATACAGTCTCCTAATAAACCAGTAAGGGGCTCCTTCCCTGGGCTATCCACCAGGTTTTCATAGGACAGTTAGAACTTGGATGGCTTGCTTAATGTGTCAGTTATGTGTGGTCAGGCCAGTTTTTGCCAGGCCATTTAGCATGGGAACGTTAATTCGGTTTAACATCGATAAGAAGCAAAACAGTTTAAAAAGAAAAATTACTACCAAAATACATTTTAAAACCAATCAGAATTTTTGTTACATTTCTGTGTTGCTGCTTCCCTTTGTTATTGTACCAAGAGCTGACTTCAACAAAAGGAGAAATATTCCTATTATGAAATATCCTTATGCTTGGCTCTCTTCAAGTGGGCATCTTTAGTCAGCAAGCCCCTACTTACCTTTCTACAGCTACCTTCTCCACAGGTGCTTTGGAAACCCCCTCTACTGTGAGGTCCTATGCCAGGACCTTCTCTCTAAGGATATATTGCTCTTTCATGACCTACAAAAGGTGGAGGAGGAGAACAGCAAGTGGGAGACCCTCTCAGGTAAGCTGAGCTTCCCAGGGTTCTACCTTGGTCCAGCTGCATCATCCAGCCCTTACAAGGTACATGCCTATTCTCTGCTGACATCATTGGTAAGCTTAGGCCTCCCTAGCTAAGTGAACTATACAAATAATATGCAACTATGGTGAAAATACTAAATGCCTGCCTCAGATAACTTGAGTTGATCCACCTACTATAATTCCTTTTTGAGTAGCGCAGGAGGTGGAGATAGGAAAATAGGGTCTATAAACATGACAGTCCACTACAGGGGATTTATAAACATAAGAGTTCAATAGAGAATTGCATATTACTTAAGAGAAGGATGACTTGAGGATTTGGATGGGGGAAATGGGAGAAGGAGGAGGGTAGAAGAGGAGGAAAAGAAGTATTTGTAAATCTAGAAAGACATCTTAGAACTGTGGTATAACAGAAGTAAGGGCTATTAGCAGTAAACAGGAAGAGTAAGAATGTCAGATACCATATGGTACAGAAAGTGTTTGTTTCTGAGAGAAAATTAGAGAACAGGCAGGATGGGTGGGGTAAACCACTTAAAACGTGATACGCTCCATTCATCTTCATCCTTTTAGTTTCTTAACTAAATTCTTGCATTTATATGCCTTTAAAACTACAGTCACTGAGCATAGCGTTTTCCTCAATCATAGTTTTCTTTCCCTACAGCCAATACCACGAAATCCACAATGTATAGTATTCCTCCTGCCAGCTCTGAAGAAGACCTGGAACTCTATGTCTGCACAGTCAAGGAGGATGTGAACTTGGATGCAGTGCTTCTCCCACCACTGTTAAAAGGTGAACCAATACCTGCCCTGGCTGGTTTGGCTCAGCAGTTGGAGTGTGGGCCTGCAGACCAAAGGGTTTTGGGTTTGATTCTGTTCAAGGGCACGTACCTAGGTTGCAGGTTCGATCCCTGGTCCCGGTCCAGGTCGTGTGGGAGGCAACCAGTCAATGTGTCTCTCTCATATCAATGTTTCTCTCTCTCCCTTCTTCCCTTCCACTCTATCTAAAAAATCAATGAAGAAATATCCTCAGGTAAGGATTAACAACAAAAAATGGTGAACCAATAACAGATGTCATTACAATTAGTTGTTTGGTGGGTGATTGAGTATAGGTCTCTTATTATAATGCCAGCTTCATTTTCTTCTAAAAAAGAAACCTGCCTTCCAGAAAGAAGTTCTGGCTGCCACCTCTCGGCCTGCCGGGATCAATGCAATGAAACTACAAGCACAGGCTGCTTGGAGTGAGAGGGAGCTTTGCAAGAGAGCAAATCTCTCAATCTCTGGACGCAGTCCCATTTATTTGCAGATTGGTACCCCCAGGTTAAAATTATTTTCTGGAAGCCAAAAGATAACAAACCCTTATTCACATGCAAACGAAGCAGCTAGTACACCTGGGTGGGTCAGCCCCCCACCCCCCTCAGGTGAGAGTGCTTAACACAAGGCTACAAAACTACAAAACGTTCATCTTTCAACACCCCAACCCCACATCTCCCCCGCCTTTTGTTTTCTTGAAATTGTGGGATCACTACTGCTGCGGTGGTCAAGAGCGTCATCACTCGTTTTTCGGTCTTCTGCATAGAGGACACCATTCGCCAGAGTCCTCAGAGAACCATATCGAGTCCCCAGGCTGGAAAGAGGGTGCACAGGGTCCGAAGTGGGCACAGGCAGAGTGTCGCAGATGAGTTTATGGACAGCCTTCTGAGTGGACTATAGGGCCTGCAAGAACTGTAAGAGGGCCAGGGGGAGCAGAGTGGTCCAGTTTTCACCAGTTTCTAAAGTAAATTTGGTTAAGGTTTCCTTGAAGGTCCTGTCTAAATCTTTCTTTAACTTGCATAGACCCTCTGTGACTTTCCTAGTGCTTTCCCTGACATAAACCTGAGAGCTTGCTCAATCTACCTGCTGTCTGCACATGGCCCAGTTTTCCTTCTCTTCCTCCCTACTCACACCCACACATTCCTGCTTCTCTCTGCCTTCCCTCTTTCCCTGTGACTTTACTGGACATTACCTGTCTCTCGGGAGTTTAGTAAGCTTGGTGTAACCTAAGTGGTGGGTAGTCTGGTGCAGTTGGCTGACTAAAGTCTGACCTAAAGTTTCTGGGACTAACAACCTCCCATCAGGCAGAGTCCATCATCCACTGATTCTTGGGTGGCTTGCTTCTGTTTAGCCAGGTCATTTTCTGACCTAGTGTATCTGGAGAGGCCCCACAGGTTTTAGGTCTGCCTCCCTAGCTTTCTGGTCTGTAGCAGATTTTCCTTGCCCCATCAGAGAGCCTGGATTAGGGCTATGAGTTTAGGCCGTTGGGCTAAAGTTCCCCTACTTAATGACTGAGACCAAATGACACAGTCCAGAGTTATTGTTGCTGCCTCAGCATACCTGATTTCTTCCTGGACATAGCTGTTCCTGTCCATGAACAATACCTCTTCTGATGATGGCAGTGGAACATCCTTGAGGTCTGGGCAGGCCGTCTGCACTATGTCAATTACCTCCAGGTTGTCCGGTAGAGGTTTCTCCGGGTCATCATGCAGGAGGCAGGCTGGCAGTATTGATGGCCAACGTCTTGTAGAACTTGATATGGGGCTGGCCTGGAGTAGCAGTGACCAGCAATCGAACAGTCACTGGAGAAGATCACATCCGAGTAGGAGATATGGGCACTCCAGCATGGCCAGAAACGAATGAGCCACAGTATTTCTCCCATGGTCCATAGACCTCTTTGAAGTCCAGGGTATGTTAAGGGCCCGTTGGCCCAGTCAGGACTGAGTCTGCTGTACCAGTATCCTCTACACCTGACTTAGTCCTAGTCTTTTCTATTCCTAATCGGGAACTAGGCCTGCCATCCAGACCCTTCTAGGGTGATCCTTCCCCAAGGGCCCTATTTCCCTTAAGGCTGCTATTACCACCTTTGCTATTTCAGCCAATTGAGCCAATAGACCTAATAGGAGAACACGGTGAAAAGTGTCTAAGAAAGCCCCTGGCTGGTTTGGCTCAGTGGTTGGAGCGTCGGCCTGCAGACCAGAGAATCCCAAGTTCGGTTCCCGCTAGGGACACATACCGGAAAAAAAAAAAAAAAAACAAGTGTTCAAGGAAGCCCTCCTCCTGGCAGTATTTGGGTTCTACCGTGGGCAGAGGGATGGGAGAATATCCTCTCACCCCAGGTTACAAAAGGACACAGGAAAGGGGAGAGTCGTCCTAGTGCGCAAGTTTACGCAGGGCAGAGTGTTTTTCAATTCTCCAGGAACACATCACGCCTGCACCTGGGATCCCTATTTTCAACTCCCCAAAGATCAGAGAAGCCTGTTGGAAACTAGCTGCTGCCAAACCTGGGGTGGCAGACAGACAAGTTACTCAGGCTGGCACTGAAGGAACACGCCCCTTCCATGTCCTGACCGCCCTCCCTGAGGAACCCTGTGGCCTCCGGGTGAGTGCCTGTGTATCTGTTTGCCTGCCACCCTGTTTCCCAGGACAAGGGGCTCTCCACACCAACCCAGTCCCAAAGCATGGTGCCATGCAGGACGCACAGAGTGGCCCACCAGCAGGGACGGCCCCTGAAACATAAATTATTCTGTTAACTACCTGTAGCAGCCAAGCTACAAAATCTAGATGTGGCTCTTCAGGTCCTTGTCTGATGGATGAGAAAGATCTAGCAAATTTTTTCCTTTTTTGGGGAGCTCTTTCCAGGCCTACAAAGCACAAATATTAATCATCGCTGTAGCGGAAGACGGTGGGGAAGTTATTAAGGACTCATAGCCTTTCTTGGCTTTCCTCAAGTCTTCCACTACACCTTTCTCCCCCACCTTATTAGCCTCCTGCACAGGATCAAGGCAATCTCTAATTAGGGCCCTAAGAGTAAATGTTTGGGCCAGAAACTTGTTCGGGCCTTATGCTGTATCTCTGCCTCGCAGGCACTGCCCTACCTTTGCCCAGGATTCTCTTGGGGCTCATTTTGGGGCCCACTATCAGTATATGTGCCCTAATCAGAACCTCCTCAAATCCTTCTCTAAGAATGTTTCAAAATGCACCCAATGAGGTCTTCTGGGCACTGGGGCTGCTATCCATGATTAGACTAACCGCAACAAAGTTGAGGGAGACACAGTAGGGAGGCACACAAGGACAAAAACAAGGGAAGACACACAAGACAGAAACTTTTGCTTACAAACTTTGTGGAGCATGGTCACTCACACACGATTACATTCACAGAGTCCACTCACACACTGTTTGAATTTCCTTCCAGAAATTCCCCATCCTGAGCGGTGCCTATGCCGCTTGGGGGTGATCAGTCTCCCCTTCCGCCCCAGTGGCGGGTCTGAATGAACAGAATTTGCCAGATTTGAACCCCACCTAACGTCTTAGGGGAACCCCCAGGAGAGGAGAGGCTGCGCCGTGTCCGGCCCTCTCACATCCAGATAGACCGGCCACCCAGAACACGCCATCAGAGGCTTTACCAGGTCTCCTTTAATCATCTTGGGGACTCCCGGCTGCTCATCAGAAACCTAAGTAGGAGGGCCCTTTAACTCAGGGTACCTCCCCTCAGATCTATAGGGGTCCGGTGGCCGGATCAGGAGAGGCCTCTCGTCCCAGGCATCAAGCCCTTGGTGAAGCAAAACAGGGAATCTTGCTGGGGCCTCCAAATGTTGTATCTGCTGCTGCAGGGTTCAATAATATAAGCAAGCAGCATAAAACACCTATCCTAGATGGGGTGGAGGTTATAGATAAGTAAGCCAAAAAATATTCTCTGGGGTAAGAGAAGCCCTCATTCTAGTTAGCATTTCCTCAGAATATTGTTGTAACTGCTTGAGGCTTCCCCAGGTAACCCTAGAAAGGGTTTGAGAGGGGCCCTGGGACTGAGTCTGGGATCAAGTGCGAGTTTTACGATAAGTGTCCAATGTCCAAGGTCAGCTGTGTCATATGGGGAGTCAGGTTGAAGGTCAGGTCCTTCCTATTCATGGTAAGATTTTATCCACCCAGCCGCCAGCCACTTGGAACCTGTAGGAGACAAAACACAAGCATACCCCTGCCCCCAAGCCAGGAACTGCAGGACTTCGCCATTCAGGTCCTGGCTGTGGATCTCTGTACCGGACTAAAGGCTTGGACCCCGTGGCAGAACCTTTTGTCGAAAATGTCGCTCCGCAGCTATAGTGCCAAAGCGATTTCGATTTAAAAAATTTAAGGTATAGATTGTCAGAGAAAGCTGATTTACAGGGGGTTCACCCATACTCCCCTCTTTGTTTTGTAATTAGTCATTTTAAAGTAGCATAAGCACATTCAACAATAGCTTGTCCTGTAGGGTTATAGGGGATGCCAGTTTTGGAGTTTATTTTTTATCCTCACCCGAGGACATTTTTCCATTTTTTGTTCAGATAGAGTGGGAGGGAGAGAGAGGAAGAGAGAGAGAGAGAAACATCGACGTGAAAGGGACACATCAAGTGGCTGCCACCTGCAAAACCAACCAGGGCCAGGGACAAACTGCAACTGAGGTACGTGCCCTTAGCAGGAACCTAGCCCGGGTCTCTCTCAACCACAGGCAGACGCTCTAACCGCAGAGCCAAACCAGCCAGGGCGGGATGCCAGTTTTTGAATCACTAATTATATTTAAGGGCTCTTCTGTAAAATGTTGAAGAGCTAATATTGCAGCCCGTAATTCAGTACGCTGAGTTGACCCGGGCTCGAGGCTGCTGATATTTTTTCACTCCTCATTTTCTTTCCAGGCTATTCCTGATTTGTGAGATTTACCTGATCCATCAATGAATACAGTTCTAGCCCCAGGTAGTAACACTCCCATGGGTTATATAATAGCAC